TTTCACCGGCCACGTATACGAACCGAATCCGCGACGAAAAAATTCCATTAAAGGCGTTGAAAAAAAACATATAAAACGTGTCCCGGCCGGCCGTTTTGTAACCGTTCCGTCGAAAATATTATTCGGAATTCCCGGAGTTCTTTAAATTTTCAAATTTTCTATAGTCCTGTTTTTTTTTTTTTCTCTGTTATATTTTCATCGCTAACCGATTTCGGTGAAATTTTGCGGGAAAAAAAATAATATATCTCCCCCGTACCGTTTTCAAAAACGCAATGAAAACCAACCGCATTCGAAAAATCGAAGTCCGGACGAGTAATTCAGGAAACCGGGACGGTGGTTATGGAAACAAACAGTTGTGCGGTCATCCTGTCGGCGGAACAAATCAAATCCGAAATTTCCGACCGATAATAATAACAATTATACCTATACGGAAATTTATATCGTTGATTTCATATCATTAAATAATGTTGTAAGATCAACGGCGGTAATAATTTTACCGGTCTATTATTTTGTACAATCCGACTTTTATCTACAGATAAGTCACACGATTAAGCTTTCGAACGCACCACACTATAAATACCGGGGAAAATTGTGTTTCCCTTGTGACAAAATAGATTGTTGATCGGAAATTCGTGTTTTCGTTACTCGCGTACGGCGATATTTTACGTCGAAAACCGGCGGTTCGTTCCCGCAATACTGACCGAACGGCCTGCGCCGTGTTTTGCGGATCCGATCATTTTCAATCGATCCGCATTATGTTTTGTTCGGCGATATTGTCCGGGCGATCATTTTTTTTTTTTTTTTTTCATTTCCGAAAAATTCCGATTTTTCATAACCGTATCACTGCCGTCATGATTGCGGCCCGTTTGCTTTTTATCGCCCGGTGCCGGATGTCCTATACGCGAATCGCGCATACGTCTCCCGTTCTCCGGGTGATTTGTCCCGCGGTGATTTCGAATAATTGTCCGCTTTCGAGAAGAGAAAAAAAGAAAAAAAAAAGGCGAGTGTTCATTGACATTATTTCGTTTGTTCCGAACAATTTGTTTACCATAATGTATTCTACGGCGTTTTACCATGCAGTTATTTCACCGTTTACTGATTATGTCATTTTATGCGGGGGGAAAAAAAAAAAAAAATCGCAAAATCGCCGCGTTTTTCCTGTTAAAATCTAATGGCGTCCCGTCCTGAGGCGATAAAATATTGCGGTCGCGTTAACGGTCGTACATGGTCATGGTTAATGATTTCCGGGGACTAAACGTCCAACACTTGCCTACGGTCGGCGACAAAACGTCCGCCAACCGATTTTGTTTTTTTTTTTTTTTCCGTATTTTCGACGGAGACTACAAAAGTCCTTGATTCGTTTTTACCGGAATTTAAACGCGCAGTATGCGCAATAGGCACGTATTGTTTTCAAGCCGTCCGGATAAGTACGGTGACCAACCACCGGGTACACGGTAACCGACCACCGACGACACTCGGGGCAGTCGAACGACAATAATATCAACACACGGAAAGCTTTTCAACCGCGCTCGTTCGGAACTGTCGATTCGGGCAATTCGCGTGCCTACGTTAAAACCGGCGAGCCGCCCTCGACCTCCCAATAATAATGTCTCCTCATCCTACTCCTCTAATTTCACCCTCGCCGTTACCGGTGCGTACGTCACCGAACATAAATTATGAACACCGCGAACCCGTCGGAATCGTATGAAATCTGTTGAAATCGGTTTGGATTGTCGCGTTACCGTTGATAAATACCGCCGTGTTGTATTATTTCGAATTACGATACAGTTTCGGGGCGATATTTTTAATCGTGGCGATACGATAAGAAACGGTCACGGGCAATAAAACGACAACACAAATCGAGCGAGGTCGGTAATTGCCATTTCGTAGACGCATCAACGCTCAAATTCCCGACGGCTGCACGATTGTTTTCAACGTTGACCGGCGGGGTCGGTTTTCGAATACCGTACGAAAAACTCGCTTTTATAAAACGCGATTGTGATATGATGTCGCCGCGCGCAACGTTTCAACGTCGCGCCCGTCATGACGCCACGATCTCGGCGTTTCGGTCGCCGTATCTTTTCCGCCGTCAAGTGACGTACGTGCGTACGACACAGAGTTCACGAGTCTCGCGGAATTACCCTCCCTCCCTCCCCCCACCTCCCCCTACTCACGCCGATAGCCGCGAATCCCTCAAGACACCGGCGAATGTCCACGGGTCGCCCCAAGTACCGAGACCCGTACACAATTAATCACACGACAGTTTTTATTCGTACGTTTTTATCCGGTTCAACGGACGACGACGACAGTTTTCTTCTCTTCTAGTCTACTCGCGATAATGTGTAGTGTACCCGTCCGACATTGCTGGAACCGGCCGGCATTTCGTGTCACCGAACACAAAACGCTGTACACGCGTTATTCCCGCGCCGTTAACAGAGCGCTAGCCGCGTGATCAACCCGCGGAATAACTTGTGACATTTTTCGGTCGGCCCAAGGACCGAAACGATTCGGCATTCTTCCGTTCCGTAGTTCAATTTTTTTGCACGCGCACTTCGTGTAAAAACGATAGCGCTATCGAATTGTACTGCGCGGCGTACGTTATTGTTGTTCGCGTGTACACGTTATCGCCATACCCGAACGTAACACTTCGCTTAATGACACCGCGTCATAATTTTACACTCCGTTCAATTTTGTTACAAATCCACACACACACACCCCCCCCCTCTCCCCCCGGTGGTCTGTTTGTACACCGTTACCGCGAACGCCGCGCATTTCCATAAAACGGCAATTAATCGCCGGACGAATAATCCGCCAGAACGCGTTTTTGTGCGCGATGTTACCGGGAGGTTCGCGTTTTCGGTAGTGGCGGAACGCGGCGCGGGAGAGGGGTGGGAGGTTGTGTGTAACACCATTATCCGGCGGATCGCGCGGTACCTATGTGCACGCGCTATGCGAAACAATGACGAATTTCTATACGGTTCCCGTGACGCCGACCACGTGAACGACGGAGGAGACAGCAAGCGAGGAAAAAAAACCCGACAAAAACGGTTCTCCGTCCGCGTTACGATAAATCAATCGCCCGCCGGCCTCGTAGTTTCGGGGCCCTTTGTGATTTCCGCGCGTTATTTACGCGCGGCGCACGGTCGGCCCGGCATCTGGCACGCGTCGTCAGAGCAGCTGCTTTGCCAAAGAACACAACGCGTGTCGCGTGTACTCGGGGGGAGGGGGAGGGGGAATGATATGAAAATAAAAAATTATTATAAAAATATCGGACCGTAGTGGAAGTTATAGCGTGCGACTAGACGGTGCGCAATCGGCGAGGGGGATAGTTTGCTTTCACCGCGTTCCATGCGCCGCGCAGTTACGACGCGCGCATAATTTATGCCGCGCGAAACACGTCGTCGGCGGAAACCGAAAGACGAACGAAAATCGTGAACAAACGTTACGCACGGGCAACGGCCGCGGCGGGCGGGCGGACGATAAAATAATATTATCAAGAAACCGAATTTCCGCCTCGTACGGAAAGACGACAGACAGTAATGCGTCCGACAGACGTTGTCATTGTCTTCGAATGTTCGAAACTTTTGAGAATGTTATCAACCGGGTGGTCCCGTACCGACGGAATTAGGCGGTAACGCGCATCCGTTTCCCGAGTGCAAATACTGCGCGGGCAAACGTAGGGGGCCGTAGACGTTCCGTGAATACACCAATAATGGTTCTGTCGGCTATACGCGCAGGCGGGGGGGAGGGGGGGGAAATCGTATACATTATATTTCATACTACGGATATCGTTCGGGGCCGGTCGGTTTTCGTTGTATTTCTTTCGAAAACTACCCGTGCGGCAACCCCCGTGAAAATGCCGGGCGGTCAACAGCCCGGCGGCTCGCAGCAATAAAATATTTCTAATATCTAATAATATTATCGCCGTCGTCGCTACACACGCGTGCGCGGGCGTGATGTTCGCGAGGAATTGTGCGTGACGGCCGCGACGGGCAAAAGCGGTGAATAATGAATTCTATAAATATATTATAATGTGATATACGGTCGGGAGAATACGGAGAAAACGCAATAATGCACAATAGTAGTGAATACGGGGAATCGCGTGACGGGCCGCGGACGTCATCGGTCCGCTTCGCGGCCGTCGCGAACTGTGAGAACGGACAAAAAAAAAAAAATAAAAATATTACGCGGCGGTTCGGAACACACACCGGGAACGCGGCCGCGTCCCACGGTGTTGTGGTTCGTAATTGATTGGTTCGGGGACCCGAAAGGCGGCACAATTAGCCGACATTTCTGCCGAGTGTTTGCGCCTTTCTTCGTTGGCGATCGGCAATCGCGGGAAAGAAGAACGCTGTTGTCCCTCCCGTCGCGTACCGCCAAAATACAGACGCGGCGGCGTACGACGGACGCGGGACATTGGGGTGAAAACACGAACGGTTTCAACAAAAGCGAGCGAAAAACCGGCCGGCGAACACGGGGGGTGCCGGGTTTAACGGCGGGATAGGGCGGCGTTTTGCAGAGTGGAGTGGGGGAGGGGAGGGTGTTCTGGCGCGAGCGGCCGCAGCGTCCCGATTGCTGAAAACCGTCCGGCGATGCCAACTGTCGGATTGTTTACCGCGTGCCCGGTGCTGTTGGCCACGCTGCCCGGATGTCGCTATGCCGGATTGGCCCGACCGATCGAGGTCAATGCGCGTGCGCCTTGCCGGTTTAACGGTTTTCACCCACGCCGATCGGTCTCCCGAAATCGCCATCGATTGTCGTTCGATTATCCCGTAAAAAAAAAACGGAAAGTCGTTGACGGAAGAATTCCCGGGCTGAAACACGTCACAAACGTCGAGCGGCATTTGTTTTCGGGCATCCACGGCCGTTTTCGGGTTCGGAAACGGCCCGGGGAACCGGGGGACGCGGTATCGATAGTTCAAAATCGATGTCGATAGTACGGATACGCACCACGGTCGGCGTCCGCCGGCGTTCCCTCCATTGTTGCCGCCGCCGCTTCTTCTCATTCGTGAAAACCAAACGCCGCGTCTCTTCCCTTTGTCGTACGCTCAGACAGTTTATTTACCGCGAGTCCACTACCGAACGCACAACACACTTTCCTGTCCGCTTTTTGTTTTTGCTCAGACAACGAACGCTAAAAATATACCGCGAACAATGGCTGACATTGTAGCAGATGTGAGGTAAGTGTAAACGTTTTATACGATTTTCGGTTCGGCGTCATTTTTATTTAATATTTATTTTTATTGACGTTTTTGTCGTTCTCACCCCGACGGTACTGTCGCCGCTGTACAGTTTTCGTCCCCGCCGCCGCTTTTACGGGGAGGTCTTTATTTGTATTTTATTTTTCATGCCGGCCGTCCCGCGAACATGTCGCTTCGGTGCCAAGACGTTTGTCTTATGACCACGGTTTGCCGACCGTCGTCTTGAGCGGTCTCCACCGGTCACCGCCGGATGGACGCTTTTCGTGTCGCTTCGTTTCGATTTTATCGGTTGGTGGCGGTTACTCACCGCGCACACTCGGACAACACTTTTCTCGCTGTTTACGCGCGCGGCCCGCCGGTCATCATCCCTTTGTATCCCGGCCACCGGTTCAAGTACTATATCACAGGTGTGAGAATCACATGGTTACCGGCGGAATAGATTCGTTCTAGAAAATTATATTGGTTTTTTTTTTTTTTAATGTCACGTTTGACCTTGTCGCCATTGAGACGGCTACATTCATCTTTGTTTAGACAAATATATCATTTCGCTTCGGCTGTTTTTCTATTATTGCTTCTTATCTAATTGCAAACTATTCGCCGACTAGAGGTCAGGACCCTTATGAAAACAAATCGTTTTATGATACAAATTAAATAATGTGATACAACAAACCTAGACTGAATTATACAAAGGTCACGACATGTACTTGTTGTACTATAGTGACCCCTCGTATAATATTTAATCATCATTGCCCCCATAATTAGGCACAATTAACTGGTGTGTCAATATTACTCCTATTAATAAGTAGTACCTAGTTAGTCTGGTGATAATGATTTGTTTGGTGATTAAACATGACCCCTCGGTTGTATAAGTTTGTAAACAAATAGGTATGTGATTATTGATATTTAATTTTCTATATCGGTTTATAAATACATTTAGTTAGATAACTGTATCGGGAGAAATTGTTGGGTCTTAATGTTTTATTTAATTGCTACGGTTTGGTTAAACCTGTTAGGAACATGAAGAGCCTAGATTTTGGGTCAGGCTTTCGCCGTCATCCCCCACATACCTTATGTTAGCGCTGGGCGCTATTCAAGGGACGGGTTTTTCAGTGTGTCCGCAGTGGCAAGCCTGTGCGGCGTGCCTGGGTTGCCCGAGGGCCACCAGCACACCGGGCCGGCAAGCTGGCCCGTTCTTTTCGACTCGGGTACGACTAAGTCGCATGGGTTCCTTATGTCTCATTGGGTCAGTGATTTCTCTACTATCTTGCGCTGGTCCTACAACCACCACGTTGCAGCCGAGATGGCGCTTCAACCGCAAGGGGGCACTAAGTCTAGAGTGGCAAGCCGGTCCGGCGTGTAGCGGGCATCCCACCTCCCGTTGTACAGACTAGGTTTTAAGTTGATGTCGGTGGGTCAACCCGAGGCTAAGCCCCTGTCACTATTTTAGCTACCCAAGCCGGCTAGTGGTGGGCCTTTAGCTGTTAGGAACAGTTATACTACTTACTGTCCATAGAAACACCTGGTTTATAAATTAAACAATTACTCGAACACCTGCTAGAATTTTTGAGTCATTAACAGCTAGGAACTTACTGTAATTTGAATTTATGTGTCAAATGTTATTTTCTTCTGTATATTTTGGCATTGAATTTATTATTTAAATATTGTTTATACCAATTAAATATTGATATATTTATTTTGGTCTTTTAATTTTTAGTGAAATCAACTCTCCAGAAAAGAAGGTAGCTGACTCGCCAGTGAAAGAAAAGAAGGTACCGGATTCTCCAGCAAAGAAGGTTGAATCCCCAGTTAAAGAAAAAGTAGCTGAAAATGGATCTAAGGCAGAAGAAGAAGAAGAGGATGACGATGAAGAAGTCAAAGAAAATGGTGCTTCAGAAGAAGAGGAAGTAGCTGAAAAAGATCAGAATGGGGACAGCAAAGGTTTGTTATTTGGGTGATAAATTTATGTACACATTTTTTAAGTATTAATTTTTAAATTTATTTTAGAAGAAGAAGATGAGGAAGAAACTGACAGTTGCCAAAAGTCAGCAAAGAGGAAATCTGGTGCTGTAGAAGCAGAACCAGAGTCTGAAGAAAGCAGTGAAAAGAAGGCCAAGTTGGATGAGGCTGAAGAAGATCCAGCTACTGCCGAGCCCCAGTTTGTCGAAGCGTAAACTCATGTCCATGACATTAAATTATTCTAGACCCTACCCTCCTTTTGTTTGTAATTAATAACTACTATTTTGACTTCGAAGCAGATCTCTTTGGTACATGAATTTTAACTTAATGTTCAATTTGTAACTGCTCCAAATTATTAAATGACGTACAAATTATTTCCTTTTCCAAAATTCGACATTTCCCAAAACTTTGATAATTATTTAATTTTAAATGTAATTTTAAGTTAATGGTTTTTTTATGTCTTAATGAACTTAATTATTTGGTCAATTTTTTTTTATTTTATATCTTTTTACTATAGGATATGGTAAAATTATATTTACAAAAATATAGTTTTTAGTCAAGGGATGGTTTCTTTTAAATATAATTTTTTAAAAACTTAATTTTTCTCAAGACTACAATGTAAAGTAGGTAGAAAAGTGTAGAAATACCTGTTGAGATGTCCCACTAGTAAGGTTTTTGTATTATATTCTACTTTAAATTTAAATATAAATGATAAATTCATTTTTAAAACTGTGATTGTAATAATACCTATTACAATTTACATATTTAGGACAACACAGTTCTTAGAATTAAATGTATTTACCAATAATATATTAAGTACAATAATTGATTTTTTTTTTTTTATCCTCAATTTAATTCAATTTTTAATTATATAAGTCTGGTATTAGTTATGATTATTAAAAGTATTTTTCAAAGTTCTGTTTTGGTAATACTACGAAACTGACTACTGTGTATCTTGAACAGTCGTAAATTATACTGTACTGTATCTGTTTTAAGTAATAAATTGTCTAGAATGTAAACATGCATTTTTGTGATTCCTTGATAGTGACTGCAATCCTGATAATTTTCTTTTACACATTTTTTTTTTTTTTTTAGAGTATTTTTTAATTAAATATAGCAATGTTTGAAATTAGAATCCCATTATCTTAAATGGGATTCTAATTTCAAACATCTGTTCATATTTCAGGTTTTTATTTTTGGCATTAGTTTTAAACAAAATAACAAATATTTTGTTTACTCTGATTAATGTATAATGATCAAATCATGATGATAAATTTAGTCTTTTTTTATTTTAAGAAAAAAAAAACATTTCTAGTTATATTTAATAAATAATATACTTGTAGTGAGCAATAACTACATAACATTTGTTTTGGGATTCACAGACTAATTTTATTACAATACATACTACCTATAAAATTGTTGAATAATTAGACTGAAAAGTTTCTAGAAAGAGATTGGCTTATTTTTAAAGTTATTTTCGTTAAATACTATTGTATTACAAAAACCAACCTATCTTAGGTGTGTTCAGATGTACAATGCAGTTTTAAATGTAGATTTGTCTAATGTTATTCTGTGTATAATTTTTCTTTTTCAGTTCTCATTATAATCACCTTGTTTTAAATCTGCAATAACTCATTTAATTTGTATTATTTTTCTAAATATATATTTAATGCAAAGTTATGTATTTGTTTTAGATAATTAACTGACCATAATAGGTAATTTTAAAAGTCTTGTGAAAATTTTACATAATTTGTTTATTAGCTTTTTTATTAACTAGCTTATAGCGACTCGTAAAGTAACCAGATTAAAAATGTATATTTCTTGTGTTATAACATAAGAAATATAATAAATTGGTAAGAAACTGGAAGTATCCTAATATGCATTTGTTTCATAGGTAATTTTTTTTTATTGCGTCTATTATAAGGTTAAGAAGATATAACTTGTAAATTGTTTATTGTGTATAATGTTTTAACAACTATGTTTAACAACTAATTATTGGACTTGTTTTGATGTATACACAATGAAATCGTACAAAATAATTTATATATTACCTATTGCTAATTAATCAAATTTCCGTAATGTTTATAATAAATTGTTATTAACATACATGATATATCATAATTCATGTTACCGGTTAACATTTTTATTATCTGAAAGCTCAGAAAATATTGTTATTAATATACGATTAAACATTGGTTGTATTATAATTATTTTTTAAAAACCTAAATAATATATAATCTTACACATTAATGCAAAGCTGAATGAGCAAGACTATTTTAAATATATATATTGAAATTTGATGATTAATTTATAATTAAAACAATTCTCGACCTAATAAACTCACTACTAAACAGATAATAATTTTATGCCCCTGCCAATATTATGTTATACAATATAATATATTGTATTAAATTACAGCTGACAATTTTTTTTTTTAATTCTTTGAGCGGATGAATGTGCTTACAATATAATGTTGGTGTTATTTAAGATTCTGATAGTCATATGTAATATTTCAAAATACAATTTTTTAATATTTTTAAAATTATAATCGTAAATGATCCTGTTAATATTATTGAAATAAAATTAATTTTTCGGGGTTTAAATATTTTTTTTGGATGATTGACGTTTTCGTTAACACAATTTGTTCTGTTGTTAAGTGTTGGCCATTTGCTGTGCGTCTGCTGTACAAATTGTTTAGGTATTTTGGCGCAACGAAGTAGCAGAGAACGGGTACGTCATAATGACGTTCTGCCGCCATTATTGTTGTTACTGGTTAGGTGAATTGTGACGGACGCGGGACGATTCTGGCGCCTGGCGATAGTGTTATTGGCTAGTTGGTGGGAAAAGTAATTCATATGCGGCGGCGGCGGCACCGACACGGCGACGGCACTCTGGTGGTAAAACGTCGACTTTATTTTCTTCCCGGGGCCGGGACCGTCTCCTCCATGGCCCGTCGTCAGCTGGTCGTGCGGCCATTTTGAGAATTTTGGTCGGGCAAAAAAAAAAAGGAAAAATTGTTTTCCTATCAATTTTTTTTTTTTGATTGACCATTTTGTTTATGTATTTCCGTGATTTTAATCCTGTTACCGATTGCCGTAGCCGTTAATTAAACAATTATGATAGTGACCAAGTGCTTGCGAATACCGCCGTCGTCCAGCCGAATCAGCCTCGTCCGACTCTGAGGTAAGCCCATGATGGTACAATATAGGCTTGATTAGCCTAGTAATAATTACGTAAAGACTATTTTGATTATAATATTTCATAAACTGTGTATAGCGTACGTTGAACGTTCAGTGACTGGAGTGGAGCAGTGTACGAAATCAGCTAAACGAAATTAGTTGATGACAACTCGTTCATCGGGAGCCCTGGAAGGTAAAAAAGTGAACGTAATGGGCAACGCCGCGACGGCTAACAAAAAAGGCGACTCGGCCGAGAGTGTCAAAGAATTCCTCGATCAGGCCAAAGAAGACTTCGAGGAAAAGTGGAAAAAGAATCCCACTAATACGGCAGCCCTCGAAGACTTTGACCGTATCAAAACATTAGGTACTGGATCATTTGGTCGGGTAATGATTGTACAACACAAGGCTTCCAAGGAATATTATGCCATGAAAATACTTGATAAACAGAAAGTGGTGAAATTGAAACAGGTAGAACATACACTGAACGAAAAGAGAATTTTACAAGCCATCAGTTTCCCATTCCTTGTCAGTTTGAAATATCACTTCAAGGATAATTCCAATTTATATATGGTGCTTGAATATGTGCCAGGTGGTGAAATGTTCTCTCACCTGCGAAAAGTTGGCCGTTTTAGCGAGCCACATTCGCGTTTTTACGCGGCTCAAATAGTGCTAGCATTTGAGTACTTACATTATCTTGATCTTATTTACAGAGATCTCAAGCCAGAAAACTTGCTGATCGATTCGCAGGGCTATTTGAAAGTGACTGATTTTGGTTTTGCGAAACGCGTCAAAGGGCGAACATGGACTCTGTGCGGTACGCCTGAATATTTGGCGCCTGAAATTATATTAAGCAAGGGATATAACAAAGCTGTTGACTGGTGGGCTCTCGGAGTTCTAGTATATGAAATGGCTGCTGGTTATCCACCCTTCTTTGCCGATCAACCTATACAGATATACGAGAAAATTGTCTCTGGTAAAGTACGTTTCCCATCACACTTTGGTTCTGACCTTAAAGATCTACTTAGGAACTTGCTTCAAGTGGACTTAACCAAACGGTTTGGCAACTTGAAAAATGGTGTCAATGATATCAAAGGACATAAGTGGTTCGCATCAACAGATTGGATCGCTGTGTTCCAAAAGAAAATCGAAGCACCATTTATTCCCAGGTGCAAAGGACCGGGAGACACAAGCAATTTCGATGAATATGAGGAAGAAGCATTAAGAATCTCTTCAACAGAAAAATGCGCCAAAGAGTTTGCCGAGTTTTAATAAGGTATGCATGTTGTCTATTTTATTTAGAAGAAACATTACATTATAAATGTATACATTTATACATTTTGTTTTCGCAACCTCAGTACACAATTAATATTAAAAAAATAGGAGGACCAAACTGTATATGAGAAATTCTGCTTGTATCAATATTATTATTATTATTTATAGTAGTTTTTACTAGGACGGCTTCGTTTAGCCAGTGGCGTTCGCAGGAAATCATTTTGTTCAACAGTCAGAAATATTGTTACATCATTATGTGAATATCTACACCATGCTGAACAATGGTACGGAACAGAATACCATAAATATTATAATTATTATATTGCGTACATATAAATATATTTATGTATATTTATACAATATCAAAATCTTGTTCTACCTTAGATAAAATGCAATCTTTTTTTTTTTTTTTTATATCGATTGTGCTCTTTTGTTAACTTGTTTACAATATCTGAATTAATAATATATTTCTTTCAATTCTCACTTGTTAGATTTTTGACAAATTGGGACATTTAGAGACATAGATAATTAAAATATAGATATTTGTAAAATATATATAAATATATATATAATATATCTAATGATAAAATAATAATAATAATTTAATTCAAATATTATTAGTTAATACGTATACTGTATTATTATGATATAGTGTATTCTGACCTCTGCGTACACCACTGCCTAAGTTCTCAAACCTTTTTATTTACTCAAAATAATCAAAAATGGTTTAATCAACTATTAAAATTAATAGAACAATTATTATTTAGCCAATAATTTAAGTGTATACGTAAACAATTTTTCTCATCATAATATGTATTATTTTATGTTTAAAAATCGGTGCCATTTGTATTGAACGCCATTTGAACAATAGGTATCCGATTTCATTGCTTTTATTATCTGTTTATAAATTTTGAAGAGCTTGTCTAATATTAATTACTGTATAGTAATTATTATTGTTACTAATTTTTTTATTGTTTTTTGGAAATGGATAGTTCCTAGTGAAGCCACATTATACATTTTCAATGTCTAGTATTGTTTTTTTTTTCTGATGGTTGTACATTTTATTTATTATATTGTTATACAAAAAAATATTTAATTATTCTAATGTTTTCAAAGATAAATCATTATGTAAATGCTAAAATTTAAAAAATCAAATTGCATTTTAATATTTTAATATAATACTTTTATGTTGTTTAGTTGTTCAAATGTAAAGATTCTTAAAAATTGTAAGAAATAATTGTTAATTGTTTGTGTATAGACCTTAAAAGATGTTTTTTTTTTTTTTTAATTTGAATATTTTGTATGTGTTTTATTTGCAAATCACTAGGAACTATTCATTTTGTATTCTATTTTGCCTTTATTTATACATACATATGTATTTATTTATAATTTTGTCTTGAAGTGCAATGCTATACTGTGTTAAGTGGTTTTTTTTTTTAGAATTCACACTGAGATTATTCTACAAAATATACAATAATAATTAATATAATTATAATTATAAACTAGACTTTAAACAGTTTAAGTTATTAGATGTTTTAATAGGTGTATTAAAAAAAAAAAAAAAAAAAAAAAAAAAAATTGTCCCATTTAATTATACCTATTTAATATACAATGTTAAATTGGCTTGCCAAAAGTTTTGTGACAGAATACTAATACCCATGTATGTATTTTTGTTTATATATATACTAAGCTCTAACTGATATTTCATTTTTCGTGCGGAGTTCAGGGTATGTTTCCCGGAGTTAGAAGCATCTACATAAAACAACTTGTACTTAATTTAAAATTATATTTTTCTTTATCAGTCTTAAAATGGTGTCAGCTCTTATGATTTTTATGTTATAATTTAAACTAAACATAATTTTAATAATCGCTTTACTTATCTACTTATTTATTATACACCTACAGTCTTTGTGATTTTTCCTAAATTAATCGTATGAATATTATTTTATTTTTTTGTCATTTTCTAAGAAGCACAATCTATGAAAACATTCTTGTTACCAATATTTACCATGTTTAGATTATAAATGTGTAATAATTTATAACTAGGCTAAACGAGCATAAAAGATCCCTAGTCAGTATTTCAAACAACTAAATAGTAATATTCTTTTACTTTATTATTGTTTTAACTTTTATTTTTCAATTGTCTATTTTTAGTCACAATTGATGAGTATTATTTTTATGAGTAAATTATTATTATGTTTTTATTATTATATTAATTGTGATGTTTTTGTTGTGTTTTAACAAATCATTAGGCTATATGATAAAATTTTTAAATAATATTTCTAATAATTTAGATGGCATTTAATATTAGGTATTGTTTGTGTATGAATTTATGTTGGTTTTATTTATATTTTATTTTGTAGTGTTCTTTTAGATCTATCATAATAATAATTATTATTATAATACTATGCTGTATATATATTATATTTTATTAAAATCATTTAAAAATAATTGTATTGTGGTTTTTATGTATATATTTGTATATTAATATATAATCATTTACCAAAAGCATGGATAATATAAAGGAGAACAAATTTGAAATTCAGAACTGGTTAAAACAGGAATGCTGTATTTCGTCATAAAATAAAATACGAGATAAATATGTTATTTTAAAGTTACTGCGTTTACAATGCAATGCAAATTGCCTAAGTTAAGAAACACGTACAGTAAGCAAGTATGCTAATCTATGACATTTTTATAATTTGTTGACATACTACTGAAACTAGGGTGACATTGACAAAACAATGGATGGATAATGCTTATAATAATTATTGACTTGTAATAATATGTCTATATATATATGTATTTTATATATAATTTTGTATATATATATTTATATTATATAATATATTATAATTCATATATTTATATAATATTAAGTATATATTTTAATGTAATAGTTTTGTAGATATAATTTTAACAAACTAAAAGTTCAATGTATAAGAAGCTTAGGAAGCATATCACTGCGGCGTCGGCGACCTGGACCGCCTGCAAAATTGGCTGCTGCCATGCCCATTAAATGTTTTGCTGCTTGTGTGCCTGAATAACCTCTGCTTAATCCCAAATCCAGACCACGTTTAGAACTAAAACACGGTTAAAAGAAAATATTATTAAACAATACAATTTAAATGGAATCAAAATTAGACTTATCATATTATTTTTAATTTAAAAGTCAAAATAATTAATTTAAATAGTACAAATAATTCAGGTATTTCATCTCGTGTTATTTTTAGTAGTTTTTTAAAAACAAGTACTCAAATGGTTTTTTTGTAAGTATTAAAAGATCCAAAGTCTAATTTCACTTAAATAAAAAATTAAATTTACTTATAGGTAATTTGTATTAAAGTAAACTATGGGTTATCCTCTAAGAGACTTTGAATAGTGAATTAATGATTTTAAATGTTGGATAACCACACGTTGTAATTTAACCTTTAATATAACATAATATTTGTTGTTATATAAAATAATAATCATATGGGTACTTAGATAATTTCCAAACAGAATAAACATACTTTCATTTCATACCTTATTTTTTTTTTTTTTTTATATATATATTTAGTTTTTAATATTTTTTAATCAGAGTAATACATATTCTTATATCTGTTAGTATTTGATGATTATTATCTATAATAATTAACTATTTACTATAAATAAACTATATTATTAATATTCATGCAATAGGTACAATTTAAATTTCTGAATATCTGGATCCAAGTGTAATTTTAATATTAATATTAAACAACACAGACCTACAATAGATGTCCAGTAGATTATATAATTACTTATATAAAAATTAGTACTTATAATTATTTTGTCATAAAATATTATTAGATTTATCAATTTCATATACTTAACTGTCATAAAGATTAATTGATTCTATACCCAGTTATTATGGAGTAATATAATTCTGGTTGATGAAGGTTAGTATATTATTGACCAAATGAAGCAATACAAGCCATATAGGAGAATAATCATATTTTTCCTTGAATACAATTAGGTAGGTAATAAGTAGATATCTACTTATTAGTATTATGTTGTACAATTTATATTATGTCTATTTATATTATATAATAAATTGTTTCTGTTATTGATTTGTAAGTAAAATTTAAATTTATATAAAATAATTATTTTTATGTTTTTGAAAAGTTCAAGTTCAATTCAATTAATTTTGACATTGATCAATAAATACTGATAAATACTTAGTATTGCAAATTTAAAAAATAATTGATAAATAATTATCATAAGTATTCATTATTGATTTATATTGTTAATTACATTTTATGTTTTGTTTTTTATTACATTTGTTAATTGGTTAGGCTACCTGAACTTAAAGTTAGTTGGTATTGATAATTTAAATTATATACATCTTATTACAAATTTAACTTTATGGTTTCAGCATATTAAAAATCAAAGTTTAAAACATTTTATGGGATTGAAAAATAACATATCATATTAGATTTTTATTTAATAGTTTTCCCTAGAAATTGTGTTCTATAAACTTAGACTGATGTTTTGTAACTAGTTAGATGAAATATGCGGTCAATTGGATCTAGTTCAAGTTCATCTGAACTACAATTCTATGAGGTAAGCCTGAATTGAAAGTACCAATCTAAAATTCCACCTCTGTTAAACTAACATTTTCTAATACAATAAGTGAACTATTATAATATTATAGATTATACGTAGTTTGACTTGAGTTAGTAAAAGACCTAGAGGTAAATAGAGGTGGTATTTGTAAATAAATTATGCCTAACATAATTTTGTTACATATCGAATACATCAAGTCTTACTATTCCCTTTCAATCAAAGCTCACCAATTCATTTTCATAAATCAACAAAGTTCACTTATTTTTTATGTACTTATGAAACCCATTAATGTTATATAGAGTTATAATCTTATATTTAGGAAATGTATAGGTACATATATTAAAATATAATAATTATTTAACAATGAATACAAATAAAAAATACAACAATAGTGAATTTAAAGTGGCTGCTATGCTTTCGTATCTGTTGCATTGATGAATTTTATTTATTTCCTACTCTTACATTATTCAATCAATACATATCAAACTATATTTATTTAATAGTTGGTTGGTTAGTTATTTTTCTATTAATCTTATTGTTGTTGGTAGGTACCTATTAGTTTTTGTGTTTTAGCTTCTAATTCTAGTTGTTGCATTTCAATTAAGAACTTGTCATGTTTACGGTATTTTGTTTACTCGTTTTCAATAAAATTGTTGTGAGTTATGACTGATAACACTATTTGAATTCATTTGTATTTTTTATTTTTTATATTTGATTATATTATTTGAAAAATAAGTTGATACTATTTATTCTAGAAAAACTTGAATAGTTTATTGCTGAATAAACACTACAGGGTGTTATTACCATAGAAAATATTGTCCTAACCCTTTTAGACAAGTTTCAAAATGTGATAATTTCTATTTTCAGCTTTTTATAAATTCTATTCCTTTAGACATTTAGTGTTATGATACCCGGTTAGGTATATGAATATCTACTTCCTAGATTATATAATTAATTTACCTATTACCTACCTAGTTTTATAGTTTATAGTTAATATTGAAACATACATTTTTTAGTATTAGTGTAGCAGGTGATCTAGTGCATTTTTCAGGTGTAGTAGATATTTAATTAGTAATAGGTTATCAACAAATTATTACACAATTTAACATTAAAATGCACGTGTCCGAATTTGATAAAATAATTATTGATGAAAAATCTACAGTAAATTATTTACAATTTTATAATTTATTCTCAAATGACTGAGTGTAACACCTTATTGTAAAAATGTGGGTGACACAAAAATTATTATTAGAAAAAACTGGCTGGCTTCTGTGAACAACATGATAGTTACCTACCAAAGACTAATATGCATTCAAAAGAATACAATTTTTCCTGTCTGCTTAAGTTTTATAAATAAAATTAACTCTAAATTGTCTAAACTTGGGCAAATTGTAGAGTTAGCTTTTTACTGGTATTATATACCATCTGTCACATGAATGCCCATTTTTGTTTTGCATTAATTATAAATTTATCTAGAACAATTAAATATACACTTACCTAGGTATTCAATAAATGTACCTAACTACTTGTTTTTTTCATTCAATTTTCAGTACTTAGATACATAAATAAACAATATGTTAATAATCATGTGAAATATTATTTCATATGTTAATAAGTAGGTATTATAAACTATTTCAATCTACTGACTCGTTCATGTATTGAAAATTCCTTGAAGTAACTTCCGGCATGTTGTCAATTATTTACTGTTTGTATTACTATAACCATAAATTGCATACCTACATGTTATACTTTATGTCTTAGAGCAGATACTATATTACTATTTAACATTTTCATTGGAATTAATTTCAAAAAAAAAAGAAAAAAAAAACATGGGTAAATAATTGGCCTCTATACATGTCGGGTCACCAAATCAATCATCAGTTAATAATCAAAAAATAAATGAATAAAACTAAATAAATAATAAAACAATAAATTAAAAACAAAATTATTAAAATGGTTAATACTCGTAAATAAATAAATAATAAAATACCTGTAACACAGTATAATATATGATTATAACTTTATAAGTTCCTCAAAGAATAAGTTAAATTAAAATTTTAATATAATTTTAGTATTTTACAAAAGGAATATTTTTAATATATAATTCATAAAATACGAGAATCTGGACCTTATTTAACCGCAATCTTCACAGGCTGTATCGAATGGACCCCCAGTGCATTATAGGAGGGTCCGTACTAACAAAAAAGTTAGAAAACCCGTAGTAGTGTCCTCACCATAGACTAGGCTAGGAATCAATATATACTAAATACGACTCTGTTGGTAATACATTATCAAAAGTATCTTATGTTTAAAGTTTATACATTTATTTTTTTTTTTTTATAAAGTGTTCTTCTTACTATAAATATGGTGATAACATACCTACTATAAGTAGGTAAATAAATTGAAATAGATGTTTTGAAAATAACAATTTAAGTTTATCTAGATATTAACTTAACGATTACCGATTAAATAGTATTATTGGTAATAAATATTAATTATTATAACCAAAATTTTTTCCCAGCATTATACATAATGTATTTAAAAGAAAAATATTATGTATCAATAATCTAATATATTTTGTAACTAATTGTTTTCACCAAGTTTCAAAAAAAAAAAAAAATCTAATATTTTAAGTATTAGATTTCCTGCTTACTTTTCCAATTCATTAGCTCTCATGATATTTTGGCCTATTCGAGCTAATAATTCCAACATCGCTTCAGGATCTCCTTCATTTTCTGATGATAAGTATGCATTATTTTGGCTGAAATAAATATATTTAATTATCAGTTATCATATATAGAATTAATTAATACAATAATAGGTGATTTCAATTTTTTCAAGTAATAACTGAGTGGTAATACATTAACAACATTTACAATGACACATTTTTTAACCTTACTACCACACTTTGTAATATTTGAGATTTGTATAGTCTTAGAAATAGTTTGTTTAATAATAGGTATGTAGGTGCCTATTGAATATTGTTATCAAAATAAAAATAAAAAATGATTATTATTATTTTAAATTCTATTTGCCTACTTATTTTGTCCGAATGTGGCAAAAATGTAAAATTAATTGTTTAATTTATCATACCTAGGTACCTGTGTTGACTCACTTAATTTTATTTGAAGTTTATTCAGATATCTTGATATTTAGTAGGTATGTTTGTATAAGACTCGAATAAGATAAACTTCCATTATTTATTATGTTTTGCATACCTACCTTTACATATTTGTCATATACATAATATACAAATTGCCGAAATATTGATATTGCCACTTTTTAAATGGGACCCAATATTTGTACATTTCTTAACGGTTTAAATAATTTTTTAACCTAAACACTGAACAATTTTACATATTTTATAATAACAATGTGTACAATATAAAAATTATAATTAATAACAAAATAGTGATGTACACTGTTTTGTGAATTTGGTTAGTTAATTAATACTTAAAATTTGTTTAGTCTATTTTTCTAGTGAATTTTATCTATATTTTGTATATAGGTAATTACTACAGTTTTTGCAGGACAAAAAGATTAACAAAACAAAATATATGTGTTTGAATGGGATTTGTAAATCGATGCAATATATGTTTTAAGATTTCACAGAATAATAAATATTTATCTCACTTATTCAGTATTTTATTATTTATTGGACTATGCTTAGGTATTTTACATTTTCATTTTAATGACATTTTGTTAGGCTCACAATTATCAATAGTTTTACCAATAGAAATTATAGAAAGATAGTCAATTTTTGATAATTCTTAATGAAAAAAATAAAATCTATATTATAATTTATATTTATAATAAAGTAAACTGTTTTTAAATTTAATTGGTGATGCATTTTCAATTTAACAATACATTAGTATACTTACATAATTTATTATATAGTTAACTAAATTCAATTTTTAATGGAAAATATTAAATAATAATAGTTATAATTTATATTTATAATTATTTTCGGTTACTGTTAGATTTATAGAGATTATTTATGAAACAGTTTTTATATAATACGACTGTAACTGAATAATTTCTGCTTACCCTTTTGAGTGTTTATTAATCAATGCAATTAATATCTCATTTTGATTTTTTTTTGCATATTTTAAATTTTCAATATTGTTCACTAATTTATTAATAAAGGGTCATTTTTTTGTATTATTGTACTAACGTGACGGTTTAAGTAAATTTGATTAGAGTTTTTTAAAAATATTTTTCCTAAAATCTATAAGAATGTTCACTATTTTTAATAATAACTTTATTTATATATATAAATTACAAAATAAATATTATGGAATTTATGCTTGAAAATTGGAATTCATATTTTGTTTTTTAGATTCAATGATGGAATGTTTTTTTTTTTTTAAATTGTTGACATACATTAGTTTTATTCTGGACTAGTGAACTGCGGAACTTTACCAAATTTATTTATAACCTTTTTACACAATAATAATTATAAACAAAAATGACTCTGTAAAATTTGTATACCTAAACTAATATTCTAGAAACAATTTGTTTTTTCATTGTTTTATTAGTAGTATTAAGATAATGAAAAATATTATTACTCTTGAAGCAATGGATAAGGTGCCGATAACGTTGCTGAGATGGTGAACATAAGTATAACGACTAAGAAGCCACATGCTACTGAAGATCCCATCATCATTAGTCCTGTGAACAAACTGTAAGTTCATTAATTGTATTAAACTATCTATCTTTATATTCTATACTAATTTAACAAACACCAATACATAGTCGACAAATAAAGAATACATTTTTTTTATAGGTATTAATGAACTATTTAACTTGGTTGTTGTTATGATAAGTTATTTATATAATAAAATATTTCTTAATTTCCATTATACAAAACAAAAAAAAAAAATGAAATAAATAGTGTCTGTCTGGCACCGAGAGGACACAGGAGTGAAATTTTGGTTATTTTGGTTACGTTTACGCGAAAGTACCACATTTGCCTATTCATTACGCCGTTCAACTTCTATTATATTAAAATTGAATGTAATTTAATTTCATACAATATATACTCGTAACATGCATATTTGTATAAATTGTATACAAATTTACAATGAGTACCAATGATATTTTATGTTACATGCTTATCGTTTGGTTAGTGCTGTGGAGAGAAATCAAGAGCCCCAGGGACAAACTAATTCCTCCTAATGTCAAACATTAAACTTACCACTAACATCTAACGTCGTCCTTTAAAATGTGTATAACAAAAGAAGGTTTAAGGTTCAGGTGTGAGGTATTCAAAAACACAAATCATATTTTTACCAACATATAATATAATATGGTACAAAATAATTACTGTATTGTTAACATTTAATTGTTAATATAATGAATATTGATTTTTTTAAGAAAAATATGAAATTTAACTACGAATAATTTTTATATTAATGTAAAAATTAAGTGGAATATAGGTTCTGGTTGTTTTTGTTGGGCTTGGGCCTCAAAGAGGGCACAGACCCAACCCTAAGGTTATAGCCTTGGCTGTCCCTCTCTCGTCGGGTCTGATTTCGGTAGTCCATTACATATTATATAAAATCATTTTTTAAATTTAATTTGAAAAGTATTCGTTTTACGTTGAATTTCAACTTATTTAGGTACAATAATACAATTTTCATAAAATGTTTCGATGATTTTTTTTTTTGTTTTACTGTTTGTGCACGGTCGCCATTTTAACCGAGCTACATTTTTTTGAAAGATTAAAGAATATAAAATTAACTATTATCACATGCAGTTAATTTGAAAATGATTGTTTACGTATTTCGACAGACCTGTCAATCTCCAAAATAATTGTAAGAAGAATAAAAAAAAAAAAAAATACGAAGAATATGTGACTTTTGAACCGACGACCGAAACTTAAAGCGGTGACAGTAACAGCATATTAAGACTACATGAAACGTCTCTTGAATATCATTTTTTTTTTCAAACTTTTAAATCTGTGAATTGGATTACATTTTTTAATCAACAAATATTTTATTTCCATTAAAACTGTTAGCCCCAGATAGATATGTTCGAAAACAGAAAACAATAAGTTGTGGCCATTCAAAAAAAAAATTTAAAAAAACGAAACTACTTTGCAAGTGGGTGTAGTCATTGTTGTTGGTGGGAAATTGGGAAAGTAGGATAAAGAAGAGAATTTAATATTCATCTGTAAACAACAATAAACCATTGCTAACGAAAAAACGATTCTGAGCGAAGTTTAGTTGATAATGATACTTTGTCAATAATATGTATGTTATATTATGGTAAAATAATTAATTTAGCATTATATATTTTCTTTAATAATATTTGATTAATATAGTACCGATTTTTCCGTTTTTTCTACGTTTTTTCCGGTTTTTAAATGTCTTTTCACGGTTTTCACGTTTGTTGGGAAAACTCTTGGGAGAATCGAAAATTTACTTGTTTAAAGTCAGTCAGATTTACTTTTAGAAAAAGTGCCATTATTGTAAATCAGAGCAAAATTGCTGGTAGAAAAGTTGTTCACAGGAAAAAAAAAGGCTGAAATATTTTTCAACTAATACCTTTATTTCATACATTTTCCCGTTTTTCCTCTGTTTTCTTCGGTTTTTTCCATTTTTAAGAAAATCTGAGAAATTCGAAAAATGATCTCTCTAAAATATTGCCCCAAGAAAATTTAATTGCAAAAAACGGTCTACATCGTATACATCGGAGTAAGCTTTCTGGTAGAAAAAGTGTTCACATAAAAACAAAAATAAAGATCTTTGTAAAACCAATACATTCTTCGCTACACTCAGAATCTAAAATAAAGTTGTATGTGTTCGTACCGAAAGAGACGAACATTAGAAATGTACCTATCGTAAAATGTATGTTTCAGTAGAATTATTTAATTCCAAAACCATCCGACTGAAATACTTAGTGTTAGGTACCCCGTATACGAAATCATGCATAAATGAATGAATAAGTAATGCGGTTAAGTTAATGACTTACGATTTAATTATAATTTTTGATTTTTTTTTTTTTTTACGAGTAATATACATTTTAGCGTTCATCTGTATAGAGCGAAAATGCACGTGGGCAGTACGAGTTTAACGGTGCCTTAACAAGTACGTTACGGCTTTTGAATAAATAACATATTATAATATATAATACATTATAAAGGTTGCTTATTGCAGTAGACCGTGTAATATTTATAGCAATAGCCCGATTTACATAGTATCCAAAAGCTAAAACCGCATGAAGGTACAATAACAATATGATATTAATTTGGTTTTTGACTAGGTATATACACCGGCGGTACCCGTACATAGGGATAAGAGGTATAAACCCAAGGTATTATTTATCAACCAGTGGACGATAATAATAACAACGCGATTTACATTATCATAACGTTAAAGTAGAGTTGGCCAAAGAATCGAGTTGAGTGCGGGATAAAATAAATAAACAAGTAAAAAGTGAAAAAAAAAAAAAAGAAAAAAAAAAAAAGAACACGTTATTTTCCGAACGGTAACCCCCGCGGCAGGCACGCGATAACATCGAAAGATAGCATTCCCAGTTACGCAGATACCGTGATGATAATAATACATGTCAGGCATTTCTCGTGATTTTATAATTGCGTGTTCGCCGTAAAGAAAATTAGGTAGTAAACAACGTTCGCGACCAGGTTCTCGGAACTCGGACGACGCGGCCGGGCGTGTGGCGTAGACTTGTGCATCTAGTGTGTTTCCGCCGAATGGAACATTCGCCCCTAGGACCGTGGAGGCGTGGTGGTCGGTCCGAACGGATCAAGAAAGTTCGGTTGAACTATAGTGTGGTTTGCATTTCAAGGACAGCCAATCAAAACACTCCGTTTATTATCTCACACGCGTTATAAGTCTACGCGGGCGCGTGCCGGCGATTTCCCACGGCCGTCGATCAGCTCAAAGAGGTTCGGTAAATGGCCCTCGACCGGAGTGCCCAACTCGTCCGTTCCGTGGTCGTGGGCTTCGGGTTTGAATGCCCATTCGCGTTTCGTTTCGTTTATTTTTCCATGACTCGGTGACCACGTCCGGAAAAAAATCTCCCCGCGGCCATAACGCGTATTCATTTCGGCACGTACGCCGAACCGGTCGCGTTTTCACGAATGATCGTCCGTCGCGTGTGTGCGCGCGCGCGCATCTGTACGTTATCATAATATTTCGCGGTGGTTTTTTCCCATCGTTTCGCGGTTCGTTATTTCGTTTTTTTTTTTTTTAATTTTTAATATGTATTTATTTTTACCGTGTTGATATTAAAAACTACAAATCCCCGTCGCGGCAATACTCTTTCGTCGAGACGAACAACAGCGGTCCGCGGATTCGTCGCCCATCAATCGCCGGTGTTCATACAGGTTAGTGACTACCTGCCCGGGGACCGCGGGTGAAAAATAACGACCGTGTCCGCTGTGGCTCGCATCATTGTTTTTATTTCGATTCTATAAATACTTACTCTAGGCCATCGGTGTACACGATTTTCATATTAGGACTGGAGCAGCTAAAATATACACCGCATTTTCCGTCAGCGTATTCCGCCGCGTAAATCATACTCGCGCATTGTTTTTAAAATAGTATGTTCAAGCTCATAATTGTATTATTGTACCGAACATATATACATATTCATTGTGCACACGTAAATCGTACTTCCCCCGCCAAAAAAAAAAAAAAATCCGTTCTGGATTCTGGTTCTCACCCTCGTTTTCTATTTATTATTAAGTTACTATACTGTGATGTTTTTTTTTTTTTTTTTTATATATAATTGATTCTTATACTTTGTATACAGTCCTGCAAAGTATCGAACATCTCGTATTGCCATACTAAAATCAATATAGCACGCAGTAACGAGTATCTAAATACTCGTTTCGAATTAAATTTCCTTGGGTCATTTCCATAGGCAACTGGAATGAGGGGCAAGTTGAGTAATTTTCGAAAAATACATTTGATTGTTAGAAAATGAGGGGAATCGTCTATTGTAGTAATTATCGTTTGCGCGTATAATATGTAATATAATAATAATAATAATATATTTATTTACGGAGATAAAAAAAAAAATCCATTTTACATAGTATAAATAATAAATAACAGATTTATATCTGGATTTATAGGTATAGTAATATTTGGTTTCACAGGCTTGTAATTTGACAAACACAGAATTACAACATAATAAGGTATAATAATTAATCTTAATGGTAACAATAATAACAATGATATAATATAGGTAATAAGAAACAGATTTTAGAATTTAGTTATTTTTAAGCTTGATGTAAATTGCTCCAGATCTTTTTAAAAAAATATCAATATTTCAATTATTTCCCAATGTCATTAAAATATTAACGGGAGAATAATTGACTATAATTTTATTGGTGTTTTCTGAATAGAATGTATTTTTCAACCTAGTGTTAAATGAGTACACTTTAAATTTAATTTTGTTAAGAAGATCTCGACAGTCTTTAACTATTTTTAGTAAGATTATATGAAAATATAAGAATATTCATTTTTCTTCAATGTTTTAAAGAATCTATTCTAACCCGACATAAAATATCATTATCACTTGAATGTGGAGATTGGACTTATAATACATAAGAATGTATGTAACTCAAGAATAACTTAAGAATATATGTTACATTGTAATATTTCTACTACTAGCAAATAAAGATTATTATTATTGTATCTTATAAGATCGTAGAAAATTATTTTGTACTATATGAATATTGTCGTAGACGATTTGATAGTCGTTACGATATATTAATAATATGTATAATCAGTGACGTATTTTAGACTTTTTTTGCGAGGTCCATATTTCATAACTGTTACGTACTTGGGCAATTTTCGGATGGCGTTCAATGTTAATTTTGTATGCGAATTTCAATTGTCTAATCGTACAACTACGGTTAATTATAATCCACCAACAATCAATTTTTTCCGCGCGATATTCTTCGCTCGGAAACCTAATAGTACGCCACGGGTATACGTTGATACATGATGTCATTTCTATACTCAAACATGTTTTTTTTTTAAATTTATTTATGTATTTTTTTAAATTTATACACACACATAATATGACATATATAATCAAATAAAATAAATCTATTCCTTTAAGCCGTAGCTGGTGATTAACTTCTTTACTTAACCGTGCCGCGAGCACATTAATCTGATTTGATATATTGATTTTTTGTATTGTTCTATTGGAGGGGGGGGGGGGGGTGGAGAGAGATCCAGTAACCGCCGAATGAGTGGCGTGAACACGCCATCGGGGTATATTGGTATTTTCGGCATTGCCGTAGCGACCGCCGTCTTCGATATAGTTCCCTATACATTATTATAAACGTAGCCGTTTGATTGTAATAATATGCATTAGGTGTACCGATAATACCTATAATAACGGCTATTGCTCGATTTCCACCTGTGCACCACACGACCTTTTGCGTCGCGTGAAATTATTGAAACGTAAGCGCCGTCGTAAACAGCGAGGCGCGCAGTACATCGCGAGGCCGGTCGCACAGAGGATTAACGAATATTACGCGTGTGCGCGCATGCCCTCCCCTATCTCCACACCCCGCTCCGTCAACCTATCTACGATGTGCCGAAAAACAAAAGTTCGGTCGGTTTTGTACGGCGGTAATAATAACGTTGTAAATATTAAAGGACCCCTTTGTGGAACGTATAGAGGGATCAGTGTGCATAATACGCGCGCCGACCGTGTTCTAATTAATATTCCGTATCGGGTTCGAATCGGGATTGCGCGCGTATATGTGTCGGCGAGGCGTTTATGCGGGGGATCTCCCTATAATACGGTCATTCGAGTTGTGAAATTCTCGTCCCCCCCCCTGCCGCCCCAGCCCCCGTAATAAACGCAAACGTATAAACGTTAATGTTGTATAAATCGTGAAATTTTCAAACAATAGTTACAATAATAATATTGCGTTGTGTGACTGCGCAACACAATCGATTTTATGTTGCGTAGGCACACGTGCGATGTGGTAAGTACATCGCTAAAAAAAAAAAAAAAAATAATCGAAAACACCAGTGTGTATAAATTTCTGTAATATACAAAGTAGGACTCGGGATGTTTGTAGACCGACGGTAATTCAAAATGTTATTTAATTAAAACGGTAAAAAAAAAAAAATTGTATAAACCGAAATATCAACTGATACCTACCTACTCGTGAAACTTATGATTGAACTTTGAACGAATAATTTGTTAATCGGAGGGTATTATGTGAATCATATATGATAGGGTTCATATTATACGTGCACACATATGGTTCAAGGTATTTCAACACAATTTAAAAATTCTCGTCACTTTTACTATTTTAATTTTTTTAATTTTTTTTTTTAATTAGCATTTTAAATTCGTTTCGAAACTTTGATTAAAATATTTTATTAATTTATATATCTACATTTATATATATAATATACACCTACGTCTTTATAATTCGAGTATAAGCTTAAATTATAAAATTATAATTAAAAAAATCCCCGTTCGTTAGGTAAATATTTAATCCTAATTTTGAGTTTTGATGACTTTTTTGAGTGCTTTTTATTTTTAATATATTTTTTTTCTAAGCGACATCATTAACATCACGTAATATTATTAATGATCCGGGTTGGTGTGAATAAAATAAAATTCACTATAACACTGGTCGGGTAAGAAATAATAATAGCATCTCCGATGATTAGTAATTATTTCATATCCGCCATTTAAAATCCCATATTTACTATCGAAGTTAATTCCGAGCCAAATATCCGAGCTGAACTATGAAATAAAACTAGAATAATAATTAAGTATATGTGACATAATTTCAAAAAATATAAAATCGAAACGTATGATTATTATTTGTTTCTATAAAAGAAAAAACAAATTAATAATAATAATATTGTAACTTATAATATCGTGGCTTGATTTTCAGTTCTCTAAATTCGAAATTTGCAATTGTTTAGGCGAAGTATAAATCGTTTTAGAAGCAAAAGTCCTAACTCAAAAACTGACATTATTTTATACGGAATTATAAATCTTTTTATTGTAAATCGCTTCAATTTCGTTGTTTTTTCGCTGCACTTTCACGGGAGAATAAATTATTATTTTTTGTCAACGTGTTTTTAAACGATGTGTTATCATTTATTTTAATTGAAAATGCCGCGGCCGTAAACACAAAATCACATTATATCGCGTAGGTAACTAGGCAGGAGAAACGTATAATATTTAATATGTAAATGAGCTATAACGGCGGGTTAAATGTTTGCGTATAGGTACTTAAATCCAGTATTTATTGTCGGCTTATCATATTATGTTGTTAAACATCACACGAAAACCGTGAAATAATATTAGGTGCATATTATATTATCTGTTACCGAAACACCTTTATACATGCAAATTTAGTAAATATATTACTTAAATACTATCTATATAATAAAGGGACCAATAAAAAGAAAAAAAAAAGAAAAAGGAAAACTACATTATGTTATATTGTTTGTTCGTATTCCGATCAAATATATACAAAACCAACAAGCTCCGACACTTGAATCGAATTTCCTTGGTTAAAATTGGAAACTTAAAACTTGGAAAGGCAAAATTTGGAATTTCTAATATACTATATATTACGACGTCACTCATTATCAGCTGTCGAGTCGGCTCCCGTCGCCGGTTTCGATTACGGGCGATGTCGTAGTGTGTATTACAAAGCCAAACAAACATTTACCATCCGTAACAACATGGTTAAGTTTATATAGAAATTCAATCCAACTTTAATCATTTCAATCCGTCTATAAACAACTCTAGTTTCTTAGTTTGAGTTAATTTTGCCCACAAGGAGCCACTAGAAATATTCAAGGGTAGTGGGAAAAATATCTGCAAGGTGATTAGCCCTCGGATAAGATACTCATTTACTTGGAAAGTATTAACATTTTTTGGAATTTTTTTTTTTAAAAACTTAAGAAACAAGATGTATTTAATGCGTTTAAACTAAAATTTCATCTATTTATGACATTTTTAATATAGGTTGGTATTTGAAAATCAAAAGTGGATTGTGATTTCACTATTCACTCTACGAGTATTATAGACACAATACAGTGCATTAATCTTTATTTTCGGGGAAAAATTGACAAATATATATTATACTTATTTATATAATAATTGTTAAAGGAAATATGTTTTTGACCGTATGTTTGGTTTGAATTGATGTTTCACATGAAATATTTCCTTCTTTGAAAAATTTTGTTATCGTTGATTTCGGAACACAATTGTTCAGCGATTTGACGTTCTGAAGTACCTGGCGGGAGCGTTTTAACAAAATTGAGATTTTTCCACTCGAGGAAAGATCTTTTTGAGATTGATACAATTGTCGCTGTTGTTGTTTGTTCATCGTTTATATGGCCAAACGTTATTACTCTTCGTACATAAAATATTATCGATACAATTAATGGTGTAATCTTAATTGTGACGGGTGTACCATAAATAAATAGTAAAACAAATACGTAATGCGAATCGCCCAAATTAAGCGGTGTTTTTTAACCTTATATAAATTGGAATCGGAATCAGACCTTTATGCCCACATTAGACGGCTGTGCACATTAAACGGTGATCACATTAAGCAGAATCCATTGTATGTATATTAGGGTGGACCAAAAAAATTTTGCCAGCGTATTTTTATATTTTATTTGTACAGGTGTAACAACACCATCGTTCACGAAAAAAAAAATGTCCAGTTCGTGAGCAGCGATTTCAGGTGAATTAGTTAATTATAGTATTTTATTTTAAAATGCGTACATAAATTAATAAGAATTACACAAGGTCCTATAGTTGATCATTACAAAATCAATATTGACAGAGTTATTAACCGCGAAACGTAAACATTTACATAATGCGATGATAAATCATCACTTGAAATTACCCTTGAAACAATGGTTTTCATGCGTTTCGTGGCTAATAACTTTGTCAATAACGATTTTCATCTTATCAACTATAAGACATTATTTATTCCTTGCATTCTGATGGTTTAATTTTATGCCGTTTTTTCCTCAGCAACAAACTGTGAAAAAATAAAAAAAATAAAAATAAAGTAAAATATTATTCGCATAATATAAAACCGTTGCTCGAGAATTTTTTGTTCTCGTGAAATAAGATTCGACGGTATTTTTCGCGGCCGCGTGCGAATAAAATGAAAAGAAACGGCCTCGAGAAAAAAATTAAAAAAAAAGTACAATTTTTTTTCGATCCGCCCTTATATACGTATACATACAGAAATTCAAAATAGCTGACACCCGGGCGTTATACGCATTCGAAGGTAAATATACCGCACGCGGTAAATAAACCTGGAAAATTAGTAAGTCACGTCATTGTACACCGCGTACGTCACGTAATTCATTAACTAAGCTAACATTGAGTTTCGCCTCCCGTTCAAAGTTTCTAATAATGTAAAACGAATAATTTCCAAAGCGCTCATAAATCCGGTTTCGAGCGCTGCAGCTTTTGTACCGTTGTGCATGTCTGTGCGCGCGTCAACACTTTATAATCGCTTGAACTTTATAACCGCGTGTTTTGTATTAGCTCCGTGTATTATATATAACATAATATTGCGTTATTTCGCCCAAGTGTCAATCGTTGGCTAACACAAATCATTGAACGTGCGCATTATTATTATTATTTCTCGTATATATATATTAGACTTTCACAACGATTCCCTTATTATAGACCTGATCGTATTTTCCTTGCGATTATCATGCGCGTGTCGAACCAGAGGCGAATCCAGGACAATATAACGGGTGCGGGGGTAGGGGGGGCGATTTTGAAAATGCATATAAGGCAAGCACTTATATACGGACGAGCTCTATGACGAATTAAGCTAAGAGTATAATGCAGCTAAGAGTATATTGAAGAGTGAACTCCCGATCACCCCCTTATTGCACCCCCCCCCCTTGGATCCGTCATTGTGTCAAACGATAAATTAAATAACGATAAATTTGGTCGACAATAATTTACACGGTAACGATGAAATCATATTTTATACCTACTGAAAAAATACGGTTCCCCTCATACCCCGCCGAATTTTCCTGATCCCGGTCGTTACCGAGATTATTTCTACAATCAGTTTTTTCTTGTCTTTAAATATTTATATATATATATATATGTATTGTTTTAATATTATTATCGTCCCGGAGTATAATAACAATAATAATAATAATTAAAGTGTCGGCTATAAATTCGTTTTTTTTCTCTTCCTAAGGTTATATACCTATGTAGGTGTACACATTTATTCTAAGTCTCGCGCGCTTGCTATTGATCGTAGTGTGTCCGTAATATTATTGCACTTGTGTTTAACTATGTAATTAATGCTATACCTATCCTTCTTCGCTACGCTTAATTGCAAATTCTTAGACGGTAGGAAATTTTGATTTTTTTTTGTTGTTATACTTAATACAACACGAATTGTTGTTGGCCATCACTTTATTATATCCTCGAGTTCCGCGTACATCCCGTATAATACCTATATTAATTAACATCATTTCAACGCACGTACAAAAAAAAAAAAAAAAATACTAAATAAGAAAAAAAAATCATTAATTTCGTTACTCTATTTGTTTAAATAAAAAACAAAATATCACTAATTACTTTAAAAAAAAATATAACATTTTAGCAGTTTATGCTTTCGGAAACTTGTTGCTTCGGGAAAAATACAAAAAAAATAGGAAGTGACAGCAGATGACATAACGAGAAACTATTGATGGTACTCTAACTATTATGTACATTTTGATTTGATAATTTTAGATTCGGAATGTAGTTCGCTTATAGGTTCGGAACATATAGATTCCATATATTTGGAACTTTTTTACTAGAAATCTTGCTCCAATGTATCAAGTGTAGCACCTTTTCTGAATGAAAATCAGATTTTATCTACTTTATACTTGAAGGAGGACATTTTTGACTTTTTCAAGTGTTTTTATAATAATTGAGAAAAACGAAAAAACTGGAAAATTTACGAAAACAATTTTTAATTTAGTTAAAAATATCCGTAGAGACCTGAAATTTGGACAAAAATTTATATTTGTCTTTTCTAAATGTGATAAGATTTTAAAATCATTTGTGCCATTTTTGAGTTATTTATAGCCATTTCAATTGTGCGAGTTTTTTACGTAATTTTTATTTGGTAGGTACTCTGTGAATAAAGTGGTTAGACTAAACAGAAATGCATCATAATTTAAAAGGAAATTTATTATAAGTCATATCAGAAATGTCAAAAAAAAAAAAAAATTGTGTTTAATGTAATATTTTTTTTTATAAGAATTTTAATATCAAAATATGTTGAAAAAAAATTATACATATTACGACCATTCAAAACACGTATAATCGAAGTTCACTCCGAATCGTTTTTCGTTAAATATCGTTGCGCACAGATATAAATTAAATTCCCCTCTATATCTTAACCTCCCAATTTCTCATCTACAACAGTGGCCCACCAGTGTGAAATAAGTCCGTCTTATTTAAAACTGTGTCGTATATTGATTATTCACAAATAGTTCTATAGTTTTAAATTTATAATATTCAGTTCAGCAATATTTTGTCAAAATATACAATTCATTTAATGTCCTATATTCTATTTACAAAGGAAAAATATTTTTTTATTCTCTTTACTTCGCTAACACAATATGTACAAAATCTAAAACAAAAATGTCGATTTGTTTAATATGGAAATTTACTATAATAGATATAGAATATTTAGGTATGTGAAATATTTATTGAAAACCGTAAGGTTGTATGTATATTTGTTTTGTTTTGTTTTTTTTTTTATCATTGTAGTTTGACCGATAGGTATGAAATATGATTTATCCTATTGGCGAACACAAATATTTTACATAATTTTTAGATTAAACTCGTTGCAATATATAGCTGGTATTATAATACGAATAGTTTAAATTGTAAATAATTATATTATAACAGGCAGAAGGTACCAAACCAATATATTTAGTGGGTATAATACACAGATATATTTGTTTTTTTTTATTGTTTATAGCATCAACTGCAGTGGTTATCAGTTTAACAAGAGATTTTTACAATATTTGAATTTTGACGTTATAACGTTACTATATTATTTTAGGTCTTTTTGTCTAGTTCAATTATTCATAATAATAGTATTCGATTAAATGATAATGATACACTGAAATAATCGAACGAAGCGGATATTTTACTAACTCAAAACGGAATTCATATTGTCTCTCATGCCGATTACTGTATTCTGTTTTTCTACAATTAGTTATGTTTGCATAGGCGCAAATAAGGTTTGAGATTGAGGGGGGGGGGTTGAAACTGAGCCACCCAATGAAGCTATTTTGAAAGTTTTAAACACCTATACAATTTGGGGGGGGGGCAGGAGAGTCATTCCCCCCTTTTTTTGTCATCAGCAGACTCTTATCAGGCCAGTTATGTGCTGGTGTCAGGCTAGTTTTGGGTCGCAAGCCCACAAACATGATTCATGTCATTATGTTTTATGATTTTATGACTCATTTATTCTCCATACATATTGGAAAAGATAGGATATAAATTGGGGTGAAATTCCTCTCAAATTAAGTCTTCATATAATAGCTAATAATTAATATATTTATTTATCCTTTTACATACCTATATTATATATTTATTATTTAGTCATTGTAGTCCCTCAAAAAATAAAAAGGTTATTTATGCGTATTTAAAATCACTGGATTCCCTGTTTAATAATCTGTTAGATCAACGAAATTATAATACCCGACATCTGACGATACCGTTTAATATGATTTTTTATCAGATTAAGAAATCCAAGTCGAAGATGTTCAGTTCCTTTTATGAAACTTTTTATTAGAATTTATATTCAAATGTCATTTATACCAAAATTATAAGATAAGAAAAAAAAACAGTTTTAGTGAATCATTTAAAATGTTTAGGGAATGTAAGAATTTTTTAGGATTTCATATATTAGGGAATCACATTCTTAGTCATATTTATTGTATAGGGGAATTACGGTGTTACAAATGAAACAAAAGTTTACGTGATCGAGATATTGATACATGTATAATATGATAACAAATCTGTGTAAATAATCCCATAAAATCCGGTATAGGTATACAATATTATATATTTTACTGTTATAACGATATCGAAAAATATAGTGAAATTTATTTACTATTATTGTAGGTAATACGATATACTTGTGTAGAAAAAGTCGTTGAATATAAGTATATAAACCTACAATATTCCAATTTTACTTATTTTAGGTAAAAAAAAATAAAAATTGACTTAGATATCTATAATATAACATTGTGATGTGGGTATTGGGTAGCTTATAATTTTACGGTTACAAATTCATAAACTGATACTATTGTATTATAAATTCTGAAGATAATTAGGTAGGTATTATATTAGTATCTATTTAATTTACAGCTTTACTTACCTTGTAATTTTCTGATTTTGTAATGATTATGAATATTTACTTTTCCCGCTTAAATTATAATTACATAATATTGTTTCACACTCGATTAATATGATAATTAGCTTATTGTAAGATATTTTTCAGTAAATAATAAAACAAAACAGCTTGAGATGTGTACCTATAAAATTATAGTAATATCTGTATATTAGTTTGCTGAGAATTCGGTTCGACGAAGACTGTTGAAATATTTTAATATAGTAAGTTTAAAATAATCGCAGTATTTATATCTGATTATCAAATTATATTTGAATTTACGATCATTATATTACTTATAAAGTCATTTCAGTTAACGATTATTTTATTGAAGAAGGTTATTAAAACAGTACCCTACAGTGTAAGAGTATACTCTTAAACTCAGTATACTTCAACCTAAATAAACGGCTACAATAATTGTCCACTGCTTATACTTGAACTTAATTCGTTTAATTATATACACTATTTCAGTCGAGAAGTTTAAGGTAAATTTGTGTTTATTTATACTCAACGATGGTCATTTCATTATTTATCATAACAAATGTTTACTTCGTAAAAATAATCAATTTAAATCAATCGATTCATTTATATAATTTTATTTTTTTTTATAAAAATGAACCAAACAATTTAATAGTGATGACATTTAAACACCGAATTCAAAGTTCAAAATAAATAAATTACTAGTTAGAATACTATAGTAATTAGTAATATTATAATATGATTTTACTGGATATGTCCTAATAAACCGCTGTATATTATATTATAATATCATAAAAAATTTAATTTTTTTGATCGTGTCATAAAGAACGCAGTTGAATTAACTATAAGCCTAATTGTGTGTAAATAATATAAAAAGATAGGTGGTGGATATCAAAAAAAAACCTGAACTCTCGGTACAGGAGTTTGACAAACAGTGGGTAGGTACTAAGAAAACCATTAGGAAAAAAACAAAAACTGCCAAACTTCCGGTTGCGGACATTGCACGATGCCTGAATTGATATAGAGCTTTTTACTGATAAGATATATTTTGTCTCTGCCAAACCAAAATTGTTTTTGTTTTTCTCGGATATGGGATGTAAACAAAACACATCAGCAACCTATGGTATATATTCGTGACTTCAATGTTCCGAACGGTAATATTTGTTTATGGAGGGTAAGTTTTGTTGTTTTTTTTCCTTAAAAAAAAAAATTCATTACACGCCCGTTTTAATCCCCGGGGGATTTATCTCGATTGTCATTGATCGATATCGTCCGCTGAGAAAAAGAAACAATGTATAAGAATTTTATATTATAGGTTAGGTACCTAACCCTACATAGGCGGACTAGTTAAGGCGTTCTGTTAATATATATATATGCCCACGTATAACAACGAAGCTATCATGATATTTTTCATTATCTCGGTAAAACTTTTCATATTGAGACGCAATATTAGTACCATATATAGTTATTAATATTGTGCTTTTCTTGGATTATTTATATTGCACGCGCATCGATATTTTGGTCGTTATATATAAATTGGATTTTGTATAGCTGTGACTGGAATAATTGGTTTCACCTTTTTAATATAAAAAAAAAGAAAATAATTTTTTTTAAATATTTATTTACCACATGTATCACTCGTATATATTAGTATTGCTTATAAGTACCTATCTATTAAACCTTTCAAGTGTGGACTTATTTATACACACATATACATGTATACAGGTATATATAACGGGCATTTTAATATATTTAAAATATTCGTCCATGGTTCATGATTGTCAGACAATTTTAAAATATTGTCACAATATTATTAGTACACTTTAATATATGATACAATATACAGTACAATATTGATGAGATGTATAGGTTATTTAAATTTAACGAAAATACAAAGGATCGAAAATTGTTTTGACTCAATTCTATACTTTTAGCATGCCATAGGTATTACAATTATTGAAGTAACTTACAAGGAACTTTTTGAATTAACATCTCCCCAAATTTCGTTTTCAATTATTATTTTTGTAGTTATTATTGGAGCGGCCATCTGATAAGATAAGGCTTTTTAAGGGGCAGAAATGGTAAGTGTTGCCCCGGGGTTTAAATTTTTCCCCTATATGGAATGGCTGTATAATATTTCCGACCAGAAGCTATGACAGAATATATATATATATATTTATTTTGATTATTAAGTAATTTAAAAACGTTTTGACAATATACGGTTGACGATATTTTGCCACTGCGCATTTTCACAACATATTTTATTATGATTTTCTAAAAGAAATTTTAAATTATATATTTTGGAAACATTTTCTTGTTGCTATATATGACAAACAATAATTCACCTTTTATGTAAACAAACTGAAAAAATAAATTACTAATATTTTTGGGTAGTTTATCGTTTTGTTGGTCAAATATTAATAATTTCGGAATTACCTTTTATAAGTTGCACGAAAAGGCCTTGAGATTTTCTTACGGAATATAAATTTCCGATTATAGTAGTTTTAATGATATAATAAACATAATGATTATTATTACAGTTATCAAAGTTGTTATATAGTTTCACAAACGAACTGAAAATTTTTGTTGAATTCGTTATTTATTGAATAATATTCCGTCTTATGATTTTAGCATAATTATTTCCACTGAAATATATATTATACAATTCTAGATTCCGTGAATGTTGATTAAATATTTATATTTTTATTAAAACTCGTACCCTTTTTATGATTTTTATTATTTTTGAAAAAAAAAAATTCAGTTATTTTTAATACTAACCTATTATTTGGTGGTAAACTTAAAACCACCGGTTTTCGCATTTAACGATTTATCATAACATTCAAATTTAAAAAAAGAAATTATTTACTGCCTTGCGTGGAGAAACGAGTGATCACCACTCTATCTAAATATTTTTGTCGGCACTTTTTAACTTTTTGATGCAATAATAAATAACCATGATAAATAATTCAAAAGTTTCTAAATCCATGTGAAACAAAAAAATGAACCAGCACATAAATGTTTTGACAAATCCATCAGGTTTATGAAAATACTGCAGCGAATACTAAACTTCAGGAAATCGTGTAGACAACTTTTTCCTTAGAAAAACAAACAAAAGTTTAAATGTTCAGGACATTTATTATTGAACATTTTTAGATCTTTTCAATGATGATATATTTATAATTTATACATACCTTAGTATATATGATAAGAATATATGTATTATACGCTGTGGACAATTCTAAATTAAATTATTACGACTTGATGTTATAATATTACTATACTTAGTTACTGATGAAATGTATACATTTATTTGAAAAATAAATTCTCGGGGTAATATAATTCGTGAATTCATACTATATTTATAATATACATTTTTGTACACAAATTATTACGTAATATTTTAATTTAAATAAATACAAAAAATAATATAGTGTTATAATATTCTACTTAATATGTAGCACTATAAAATTAAAGTTATATTTTTTTTTTATACATCAAATATTTTAATAATGTTTCACTCGGATTATAAATGTTAAGATTACATCATAATTTCTTGATTTAGTTAATTAAATTGTATATTATAAAACGAATTGTGTAAATCATGAACATGAATCTCTTTGTTAAAAATTAATTCCATAAGATTTATTTTTTATAAACGTTTTTTGTTTTTCATGTAGTTTTCAATAGGACTATTCATCAACTATAATATATTATGAAAAATGTCGATTTTTAATAAAAAATATAAATTTATAAGGTTTTCGGTTCACTAAACAAATAATAATGAATACAAGAACTGGCTGTAACTTTTGTATACCTAGTCATTTAATATTAATTTGTAGTCGACCAACTTAAGTAACTCGGTCGTTGAAACTGCAGTTTAATTACACTTTAGTCCGGTGATACCTTTCAGGCCCCATTTCCTATTATTTTCCACGTTTCAAAATATAGATGCTTTTAGAGTTCATTTCCGAGTATAGGTAATCAATACTGCAGACTTTGTGAAGAGATTTAGACCACTTAGTTTCTTATTAAGAGTATTGAACGACACTGTTTTATTCTGATTTAAGTAGAGGCGAGTTGTGCCCCAGTTTGTGATTTAACGGGCGAGTTACATACCTACACCTACATACAATTTTACAAGGTGCCATTTATAATTTCTGTGTATTTATTAATAGTTTAACCGGATATGGTACGTTTTTTTGTATGACCAAAGCCATTAAATTATTATTTCAAATTGATTTGCTAAACGATTTTTACTGTATCTAAAACGACTATATAATTGTATAGTTACAATCTTCTATACAACGTGAAAAGTTATATAGTTATACTTTTAATGTATCAAAATGGCATTTATTCATTGTATACATTTTATATACTATATTCATATATAACTGCTGTTCGTCGTCGTTAGATTATTAATTAATCTTTTTTTCTGTGTGTTCTAATTGTTTTGCCCATATCAGTTTTGACTTGTTCATTGCGAATGTCTAATATATTCGTATTGAGGTTATTGCTGAAGGCATATTTAATTAATTAGACATTTCAATGATATTTCTGATTTTACTGTTGGTATTAATTTGTTATAAAGTACATCTATATTTTAAAATTAATGACAATTTTATATATATATATATATAGATTAATATTTTGACCAATAAAAAAATAATTGATTTATAAAATTAGTTGCATACATTTTAATGTATTTATCTTGTCTGGATATTTTTAATTAATATTTTACACGTACTTATAATATATAGGTATAACTTATATAATATATTTTAGGAGTAGGTACCACTATATGAGAAAGTCGAAAGTGGTAGAGCAGGGCTAGTCTTAAAATGTGTGTTTAATTTAAAAATTAATTTTAATTTAAACTCGTGCTTATAAAGTGTCGTCTTTCTGCTATTAACTTTTTTGAAATACTTATGAAACCGAAGAACACACACCGAATTTTAATTATATGACATTCCACTATCGAAGTGGTTGACTTAAGTTTAAAGTTGTTTTTAATAATTGTAAAATTATAATACCCCTTACTCGATTTTTATAATTTTAAATAGTCCAACTAATTCTAGTTGATAAAACCAAAAACTATTGACTAGTTTATTAATTCTTAAAAATAAAAATAATATAACTAACAACTTTAAATCCCTTTATAATAGAAACTTATTATAGGTATTATTTGTGTAAAATATGTTATTTTTTTAAAAAAAGGTTTACACTTAACGGTTTTAACTGTGGTAAATTTTTTTTTTTTAATAATTTTGTATTATATTTAATTATTTCTATATTTGAAATAATGCCAAAAAAAAAAAAAAATAATAAAAACGAAATAAAAGTTTTGTCGCCAACGTGTATAATATAACAACATATTATATAATATGGTAACTATAATAATATATAATCAAAATTAATTTATATTGTTAAAAAAAGGTAATAAATTACTTTAATTCTTTTTCAAATTTGCATACATTTTTTAAAATTTAAAAAGAGTTGATACTGGGGGCGAGTGCGCCACTGTTTTAGGTGGGAAATCGGGAAGGCAGATTACATACATTTATTTGATTTATACCTGTAAGTAATGATAAACAATTTGCTAACAAAAATGATTAGGATTAAAATTCAGTAAGCCATTTTAAAATGTCATGGTTTTCTTTAAAATTTGATCTTAAAACGTTTATGAAAAAATAACTAAGGCATTAAGCTCAAATTTGGTTTTTAGATTAGCAAGTAAAAATTATAATTTACCTTATGTTAAATTGTCAAGTATTTATCTTATGTCACATATTTTAATAATTAATATAGATACCTACTAAATAAAAAAGCATATATAAAAACATGAAAATACCTATAATAGTCTAAAATAAGCTTGAATTTTTTGAACATCTTACCACATTTACAAAAAGCTAATAAAGTATTTTCTGAAAACTAAAGATATCTATAATAATTTTTAACCGAATAGCAACAAAAAACCCAAATGTGGTACACTTTTCCGTATTTCCTACGTGTTTCGCGGTTTTTCGTAATTATATAAGGAAAACTATATTGAAAATCAAACAACGATTTACTTTTTCACAAATAAGATAACATTTTATTTCAGAAAATATGGTATTTTTGAAACGGTAAAAAAAATAATCTTAAAACATTTTGAATATTGAAATCATTGCGTCGTAATTTGAAAAAAAAATAATTGTATTTTTTGTCTTTTTGGTTTTTCCAAATTATTATAAACACTAAGTACTTTGGATATTAAATAAAATAGTTTTCTTTGTCAATGGTTATATATTAAAAGGAACGAAATCGATCTTTTGTCTTATTTGATTGGCGCCATATTTCTGGTAGATAACACATAGTTAGCAAAAATTAAAAACAATGCAATCGGTAATGCTGTGGCGTGAAACAGAATGTATAAATTATTATTTTTATTTAATTTTGTCGAGTCTGGAGTTTAATCTAGTCCTTTGAATTTTAAAATACAGTTCTAGAATCTTCATTGTCTCTGGAAGTTTTTAAATATTACTTTATTCAGCCAATAAAATATAAGACACTCGTAGAGTAAACGATAATAGATTATTATAAAGATCAAACGCGCACATTTATAAAGACCATACGTTTATAACGAAATCCGTTTGTTTTATTTTATGTATTATTCAAATTGTAGGTTGTTGTTACATGCGCGAGTTTGTTGGAAAAATGTTTTTTTTTTTTAATATAGAGATACTTGCCCATCATCATGCTTTTTTCGACGAGCGTCGGACGGATGAAATTGGATTCAAAACTCGTAAAAATAAAAATAACAATAATACGTGGCACGAATTCGGTCTGCAACAATGTAAATAAATAAATACTTATAAAAAGGGCTGCAGCTATAGTAGAGACAAAATTTATTAGACGTTTTGTTAGAAATGAAGAAAAAATATAATTATATCATGCAAACTTACAGCTGCAGCACTATATTACATTACTGTGTACTTGTTGTATTATTATTTATTATTCTGTGTATATAATGTGGAATTGAAAAAAAAAAATTAGATTTCAGTATTGCACAGAGGAACCATTGTTTTGTTTTTTTTCGAATCTACACAGGAATAATAAATATTACATTTTTAACGATATGACAAACGATCATAGATTTATAAATTAAGCCTCTGCACCTATAATACTGCGCGTAGATACCTAATATAAATTTGAATAAATAAATATTTTAACAAATTGTCTTTACTCATCACATCGTTGCGTTAAATAATTATGATAATAATTTCAGTAAATTCAATATATTACCACGATGAGGTTTTGTTCCGTGTCCCCGTAAAAAAACTTATAGTACGAAATAAAATGCAATTATTCGTTTTGATGATACGAAATTGATTTTCATCGAATACGGAACACTGACACGGTGTGCCCGCAGATTCGTCGGTGGCAGGTTATTTTTCAATATTAAATTATGTACAGTAGTTATATTCAAGTATAGGATCTATTGTTTTTGGACGGTAATCGTTATTTAAAATAAAAAAAATATATATAAATTGTATAAATATTATAAAAAAATTATATAAATCATTGTGTTTACGATTTTTAGATGTAAAATACGTACGTTTCCAGGAATGCGAACGGAAATACAAATACAATTATTTATTAGATATTGGTACGTGTCCTATTATATGATATTGTTGTTCAATACTCGGTAAAAATGCAACAATAATTGGTGGTTTTTCGCTATAAAAGGCCTTTTATGTTTTAATTCGAAAAACGACAAACGCGCGATCAAAAATTTATTAATTACGTATAAACGTTGGCTTGTAATGGGATTAAAACATACTGGGGTGACGAAAAAATGAATTAAAAAATCCGTCACGTTTTATTCCTCGCTGTACCTATAGTGTATATAGGATACAAATTAGTTTATTTTAATTTTTTTTTTTTTTTGTAGTCCGTAGTGGCCACACAGTTCGTATTAATATTCAAAATGGAATAAAAAACACAACGAATACTGTTATCTAAACTTCCAAATTATACATGTATACGTTTATAGTAAAAAAAATAAAAAAAATTGTGTATTCATGAGCATTATGTGTATAGCCGTCGCAAAAATAATAATGCGCAAAAACGATAGAGAACAAGTGCGAGTATACATTTATGATAAGGACGTCTAAAAATGGTTGCTCCGGTTGAACTTTAGTTGTAAAAAACAAACCGTTTTTGAATTTACATTTTTGAAAAGTAAACCGCGTAAGCACGCCCGAAATCGAATAAAACGCGTATACTAGGTATATTATTAGATATAATAACGTTTTTGCGTATATATATATACACATATACGTAAATTGCGCGTGTCGTTTAGTGAAAAATCTCTAGAGACTACGTCGAAAATAAATACGTTTTGATGACTCCGTTTTCTGCGGAAATTCGGTTTCCGTCTTGGAGCGGCGAGGTTTACTGCAGTCGTTATTTAATAGAATATTGACCGGCAATAATGTCTTGTATAGTAATCGTAGTATATCGTCACAGATATAATAATAAACTAAATTGCTAATGCGGTGATGAGACGTGAAGTTTCATTCCACCATCATTTAATTGGAGACTTGTGGTCATAATCATCTATTGTATTAACTACATTTATCATTATATAATGTTTGTAATATTATTAACAATCACGGTCTTGGTCATCTCGGTTATTAATCGTAAAAGAACAGATTCAACGGTTATCACTATGGCTGGGACTTTGATGCGTTTTGCATTGTTGTCCAAAGCTTGCTGTGCATGGTTTGTATTTTTACAAATTCGTTTCACGTATGTTTTAATGAGAATGAGAAACTTTGTTTTGTATTTTTTGATTTTATAGTCGTTTTTTGTACATTTTTTTTACAGAATTTTATGATATTTGGGTAATTTTTGGTGTTTATGAATGCGAATCTTGATCTTTTATTTGTATATTAAGATTTGTACACGTTTAAATTAGTTATATATAGGTAAAAAACTATCAAGTAGGTACTTGTATATACGAATATCGTTTATACTAAAATTATTATAAATACATAAATTTTAATGAGTTATTTAGAACTCGTAAGGCATGTAAGCATTCTTTATAAAACGGATTTTTATAGGATATTACATCCCCAGTCCATGTTATAACAATATAAAAGTATACGGTGAGGCTGAAATGACAGATATAAATCTATAGTTTATTACATAATATATAGATACGAGTTTATTGAAATCAATATAGTGAGAGACAGACGTTATGCGTTTTTTTCGTAATTGAAAAATATGTACACGTTTTTTTATATAAATATGTACTCAAGTAATGATTTTGTTATGTTCTCATAATAAGAAATAGCTTATAATATATAAATAAATAAATTATAAATAATGGCTTTATAATTTTACTATCAAGTATCCCTATAATTTTTCCAGAAAATGTAGCGTACTCCTACTACATAGACTCCATGTCTATGAGACTTGTATTTCCAATTCAAGTACTGTTAACGATTGACGGGCCCGGTTAGCTATGGTTTCGATATAGCACATGTATAGTATATATATATATCTCGGTGTAGTATTTCGTTATTTTCGCATAATTCGAGTATTTATGAGGATTTACGAGTATTTGTATAATAGAGCATTTCGACCACCGCTGAAACTATTACCATCACCATCACCATTGACGAATATTAATGTTACTCTTTCCCTGGGCCTCCATTATTTTGCCTGCAGTGTAAGTATACCATGAGTCGGGTCGGCAATGTTATTTTGAATATTCATAATATACACACAGTCTATTAACTTGCGGCCAACGTAGAGAATTTGCTTTCCGGACAATAATTTCATTAAAAATTGTATAGTTGCCTCGTCCATTTATTTACCTAATATTTGCATGCGACTCGCGTGGGTACCTATCTACCTTTCTACCTACTTATAAAAGCGGAAATATGCGCTTTTAATACGTTTATATACCCGATAATTTACAAAATATTGAATAATTATGTATGTGATGCTCTAGTTGTTGCAGATATTGTGTCGATTTTTTCCATCATACGAAATTTAAAATGTATGTACATATTATAAAAAATGCACGGAGTTACATGGAGATCTGAAAAATATGACTTTTATTTCGTTAAATATTTTAGAAGTTGGTTTTACAATTATGTTTATTTTAATTAATTTTTTTATACTGCATGTGTACACAAATTCTACCAGAAATCATGTTTCGAAGTATCAAGTATAGCAACTTTTTCTGAAAGGAAATTTGACTGGGGTGGTACTTTAGGGAAGTCGTTTTTTGATTTTTTGAGCTGTTTTCATAATAAATGAAAAATTGAGAAAAACATGGGAAACACTTAGAAAAAATTGGAAAATGTACGAAATGTATTATGTTTTCAATATTTTGTTTTGTTGTCTTTTGATCCAGTTAAAAATATATATGTGGACTTGATGTTTGGACAGAAAATTTATGAAAAAATACCTAAAATGTGTACAAAAATAAAACCCAAAAATTATAACTCACAAAACTCTAATAATAACTACGAAAAAAAAACTTATGCAGTTATAAATAACGAATAAAAAAAAAGTTATTGCATTTGTCAAATTTCGGTGGGACACTTTGTATATACTTGTAATTTAGACATTTAGATTTATTTCGATATGAAAATTTATACAAGAATTCCATCGTGTAATTCGTGTAAGGTCAATCATTTTGAACGTAAATAAATATCTGTACTGGTTTAGTTGTTTTTATACCTAGACGAGTTTTTTCGTTATTATTTTTGAACGAAAACAATAATTTTTTCTACTATTTAGCGGGATTATTAAAATATAATAAAGTTGATTTCTTTATAAACTGTAATGAAATTTTGATTTTATTTCAATGCATATCATTATATTATGATAACGCATCTGTTATAGTTTGTAATTACAATTTATTATAGTATACTTAGTCACGATGAGTTTTAACATTACAATTTATTATTCCGAACTTGCCATATTTAAATTAAATGTATAGATAGACCCATAGTCATAAACTATATACTATGCAGCGTAACAGATATATTATACAGATGAATAATTCATCCGAAAGTGCGCGTATTAAAATATTGCATTTCTATTCATTGAAATAGATATTCACGTCGAATTTGTTTCCCAGAGATTCCTAGTCTAAACTTTTTAATTTCTTTGAACAATATTCGCACTAAAAAATATTTTTGACATTTTTAATGGGTAACCAAAACTTATATATTTGCACGTATCTACTAATTATGTAATTAATCATTTTTATGTAAAGTATTTCTTGATATTTTATTATAATGTATACTTAATTTATTTCCCACGTGCTTAGATAGTAATATAGGAATAAAAATCGTATGATAAAAATAAAGATTTTAGATTCTGCTCATGGAGCGATAAAGCTATATTTATAGTTTAAGACCTTTTTCTTAGGACAAATTTTTCGGTTAGTAAAAAATGCTTCAAAAATTTCACACCATAATATCTTAAAAGATATACAAGTTTTTCCGTACAGTGGAAGGTAATTTATTTGAAACAGTTTTCTAGATGCCATTTTTTCTGAAAAATTTAATAAACGTTAATAAAGTATTATAGACTTTGGGATAAAGTTTATAACACGCATAAATCATATATTTTTTTTGGACTCGTTTTGTTTTTTTGATTTCTACGTTTTTAATTTGTAATGGTTTATTCTTGCTTTATGTACCTATATAATGATTTAATAAATTATTCGTTAAAAAAAAGAACCATTTAATTATATTCGCTATTCAGACTGCATCGAGCCAACTGGTTCGCGGGTTTGCGAATCACGTTCACCATTTTTTCATTGACCGTATGTTTGATTCTATGTTAGTATTAACTAACTCATTACGTTTATTTTGTTAACCGCTTTGTTTGTCAACATCGCTTCTTGCCCATTGCGGTGTGCTTCGAAATTTCTTCCGAGATTGGATGTATTGTTTGTTTTGACTAGTTTTTATTTACAAAAATTATGAAATCAAAATAAATATTTTTTGTAATTTTAAAAACACAAAGGTCGAGGACGCCGTGAAACTTCTGTCCGATATTTTAATTTATTGTTTGGAAATGATCACACCAAAATTAATTTACATTACTTTTAAAATTCATAAGAGTGCTGCATTTTAACTACCCCTGGGCGAACTAGATCTTGCACTGTATATGCCTAAAAATAAAACATCTCTTATTGTAGCCTCTAGGTACAGGTTTTAATATAAATTATGAGTTGATAATATTATTTTATAAAGTAAAAATGCTAACCGTCTCTGTAATGGAAATTACGCGTACCACTTATAAAGAACTGTCATAAAAAAACATCTACCGATTTTTTTTATTAAGATTTCAGTAGAATAATGTCGGTTTAAAAGTTCAGATGATTTTTTTTACAAATGTTTAATCATCACGACGAATTCGTCGTGGTTCAAAATAATTTATAGTCTTTTTAATATACATATATAAATGAAAATTTATGTTAGACACTATATATTTATACTATATAGGTACATATAGTATCAGAGAAAATTTAAATGTTTGAAAAAACTTTTCCATTTAAGTCCATTATTTTCTATGATGTTCGTATAGACGCTGCAAATGCTCATATATCTTTTATACATATTATTATTGTTAGCCTAATAAATTTATATTTATTTTGTCAACGAATTTATGTCTTGTCTCGTTTTAGTCCTAAGGCAATATGTTTTCTTAACTAGCGGAAAATACGTGTATTGATTATTATAGAAACGTCAAAGTTTTCGTGATTAGATTGCGGAAAACAAAAACATAATGCCGCACACAGGTTTCGGATTAATCCGCAAAGTTGACGAAAACTTTTTCGATAAAAATTGTCTGAAATCTTTACACTATATAACATATACCCACTCCACTACGACGGTCGACATTAATTTGCATTTATATATTATTATTATTATTATAATTATTATATTTGAAAGACAAGAACCGTTCAAATTAACGTTGTTGAGTTGTTGAGTGAATTTAATAAAAGGTGTTTTCTATTACCGACCCAGACAGATGCGTTCGAGTTTACGTTAATTGCGAATATTAATTTAGCAATAAATTAGTTTATGTTTTGCGAGCGGGTAGGAGTCGTTATGTACGTAGGTATATTATAGGTACGTATTTAATAATTTTTATTCCTCTTGGGGGAAAGAAAAAATAAAAAAATGCTTTGCTCGTTTTAAACTGAACACTGATTCAATGTAAAAGAAATTATCACTTCCGACATTTTTTTTTCTGCTACCAACCTATCTAATTGATTAAGATGATTAAAAACTAAAAAAAAAAAAAAAATAATAATTTTGTTACCAACTCATTTATTTTTTGTTTTAAAAAAATTGTCCGAGGATCTGTAACGTTTATTATACCAATTTTCTAATTGATATTTTTATCAGTTCTTATTTGTCGTGATTTAAATGCATACCATTGATAAGGTGTCTATCATGTTTGATAATGTTTCAACCATGATATAATATGATTAGTGTTCATTATCTAATTCATTTTAAATAATTTGGTTATCCAACTGCAGTTTCATCGTTTAGTTGAATTTTTGAAGGCAAAAGGTAATATTCTGTTCGACTAGAAACTCTGTACGCATATTAATGCGTTTGTTTATGCTTATTTTAAATTAATTAGAGAACCTACCTTATATGTAACCTTATTTTTATAAAGTCACGTAAACGACAACTATTTAAATCAAACGCATAATATAATTTGAATCGAGTAAATATTTTATGCGTAAGACCAGTATTAAATTAAGCAAATCTGCATGTACCAAAATTCAGTTTGCTGCACAATATACGAATATTTTAATATTATTTTTATGAAACACGACCACCCCTTTATAGGGTTAGGTACAAATGTTTACTTGCACACTTGATGCAATATGTTTTGTGGTTTATTGTCATGGAATATTATTCGTATAGTATCTTTATAAAACAGGATGGTAATAATATTATGTCTCGATAAGTTTTTGAATATATATATATATAGGTTTACTATACCTACATTATTATACGTTCGGTATATATATTAAATTATTATACTTAATATCGATTATTATCTTGCCTTTCAAAATTCAACTTAACTGTGAATTAGTTGGAAGGTTTTTGGATATTAACATATTTATAGATTGCGTTAGATCAGGGGCATGTATGGAGGTTTGATTCTTCTCCGAATGTCTTTAAAACAAATTATGTACACCTATATAAATCAATGTTAAATGTAATAAAATTGTTTTATTATTACAGTTTTAACGGATTAATAATATTGTAATAATAATTAAATAATTATTATGGTTTTGATTTTCAAAATGTATGTCGAGTTGTGAAAGAATGGTGAGAATTTTCCAAGGGGGGGGGGTTACCGGTCATCCTCTTTTCCTCTAGAACTGTTTCTTTAATCTTCCATCTTCAAAAACCATGGCTTATATAAATTTAATCGTGACAAATAAGAACTGATCCGAACTATTAAACAGGAAAATCGATAAAGTAAACATTGGATACGATGGAATTTCAGTCGATAACGCCGAATTTTGAAAGATTTATCCGATTTTCGGTGTTTATTAGACACTTAGTTACAGTATCATAATTATTTATCCGTGTCTGTATAGGTATTTAAACACGTCAACGAAGAGTCTCGTGATTAATATGTGATGTTCATATTATAACGATAATGATAATTTAAACTTTGTTGTCGTATTAACATAACAAATTAATCACTCACACTATTTCGTAATGTTTATGTGAAGGAGCTAAAGTTGTCGTGACGGTTAACGATTCAGTTAATTAAAAACCATAAGTTTATCACGAAATGATATATATATAGCGTAAAACTTAATCTTACTAAACGTCGTTGTTATAAACGTCAAGGGATTGACGACGACAACGACGACGATGTGACCGAATTGCATTAATTTTATAACGGAGAGCCCCGTTAAATTGAGTGTTTAGAATATTATATTTATTATGATTGCATTTTAACATATTCGCCCCTACCTCCACGGTGTTATAAAGGGCATTTTATATAATGAAAATCGTGGCACCTCAAAAGGTAGTCCGGAATGAGAAATAAAAAAATAAAACAACCGGCTACGACAATGGGTTATATTATAGTAAGACGTTGATTTGTTTTTGTTTTTTTTTTCGTCAAAAATTTTATTAACAACTCGGAGATTTATTTCCATATACATTTACGTCGTAAACTAGATATTTTAGTTTTTAGTCGTGGCACGTTCGAGTTGTATTTTTTTTTCTTTTTAATCCCCGGGTTTTAGCGTTTAGTCCAGCAATCAAACACTCGAGTCACGATCGTGTCCACCGTTGATTACATGTACGTCCTGCAGTAATTCAGTAATTAAACCGTAACCGTGTAAAATACAACGGATTTCCACCGCCACCGCATAAACTCGGCGCGTAGCTGCAATTTACAACCGCGGTAAAATGACAAATTGAAATTATTTTAAGATCGGCTGTATATTATTAATTGTGACGAGTCGTGTATATAGATCGAATTTTATAACAATGCATAATGTGCGCACACGTAGTAATAGAAAATAAAAAATTTCGTCATAAAAATGTATTTCAACTTATACTCCATCTATACATGGAATTTTTATTATAGGTTGTCATTTGAAAATCAAAAATAGACAGTGGTTTTACCCCCAAAAATAAGGGTGACAAAAAATAACAGTAATGCAAAAAGACAGAGCTGCTTATTTCTTTAATTTTCTATAAAACAAACTACGAAAAAAAAGTTATTCCTTTTCGAGATAACGAGTGTCTTACGCTAGATTGACCTTTCTGTACATCGTGTGTTCCTCAATTAGACTTGACGACCAATCAAATTATAAATCCGATTTATTTCGATATTTTTCGAAAATTTGAAGTCTTTCTAAGTCTTTCTTCTTTTTTTCTGATGAACAACCAACAGATATGGCTGGGGTGTGAGGCGACGGAAGGCAATGGAATTGATAATGTTATTTATTAAATTATCTATTTCAAATAATCATTTTAATTATTATAAATAATCAATTCAACGGATTGAAAACTAGATGAGGAACATCTTTTAATAAGGCACATACAGATAATAGTCGGTTTTCTTGAAATGTCGACAAATTAAAAATAAAATTAAATAAACAAATCAAATTCCAACGCGAGGACTTACTATATTATATAAAACTTAATGAATCGTTTAATGTTTAATACGAATATATAAATTATATTACAGACGAATAGTTTTGAGACTGTAAACTGTATATAGGTACCGTTTATAGAAACGATTTTCCGCCACGCACCGTAAGACGTCTTTTCTTTGAAAGCCCGTTTATTATATGTACTATTTAGTTTTAACAAAATGTTTTACAATGCCATCACGCTCCGGGGCAGGGACTTATAATAATTTTCGGTTTAATTTTTATGTAAATAATTATTATTTGTTTGAATGTACATTTTAATTTTTGATGTTACAGTAAATATATTACCACGGTCGTCATACCGGAAGAGCTCTTTGTTTCGTTATTATCATTATCATCATCGTTATTATTACGAGTACCTATATTTCGAATTATTAAAAGTTTCGTTATAATGACCGTGTTCACGGAGCGTTCACTCGTTTTATTAAACAAAGGCGCACCGAAAAATAAAATATATGCAAATCGTTCTATATACGATAAAATTTCCGAGATTATTACGTCAAAAATCCGTTTCGGAAATCGTTTTTAGATATTATGTATATTATATAGCAGGACAAGTATAGGTATCACGTATAGGCATATTATACATCGCACCAGCCGTCGTTGGCCGAGAAACAGTTATTCTGGTTCGAATTTATTTCTCGCGATAACGCTTGGAAAAATTGCCTATATACCTTTGGGTACGTGTACTCCTTAATCCGCTGCGAGATTGTAACTCGTCCGTATAAATCAACGAGATATTATTATTATTATTATTATTTTCGGCGACCTTTTGTTCCGGGTTAAATGTATCGCGTCGGTCGGATATCATTTATATATATATATATATATATATAAACGTGAAATAATAAAAGTTTCTTTTTCTCTTGTTCAAACAAAATGCCCCGGAGAAAACAATGCGGGAAAGTCGTCTGGGTCGGTACGTTGCGGTATATACGTTACGCATCGTGGGAAGGAAATCCTTTAAAATTCAACTTTGTCGCAAGAATTTCCTGCCGCGCGTATGATGGTATTAAAATCGTGTATAGTATTGGCGGCATTTACTAATATATTATTATATTTAATATATAAAGGAGAATAACGAGTGCGAAATTGAACAAATTATGCGTATCGAAACGTATTGTGTGTAATAAAAACGCATTTATTAATCACATGATCGCTGCGTCTATAACTTTAAATTAAATATTATGCATCACTGCTATGTAGTGTTATGTTCGCTGATTTGTTTTTTACACCCCGTTTAATAATATTTACACGTTTTCAATGAACGGTGAAATTTTCAAATTGAATTTCGTTATCTGATGAAAAGTTATGTTATAACATAGCTGGAAGATAATAATGCAAAAAATGTACCTTTATTTTTTATTTCTTCGGAAAGGTACGTTTGTTTTGTTTCCGAACAAGTTTTTTTTATGAAAATTAATTTTTCCTGTTTTGTCGGCGAGAAATTAAATAAAATGACCGATTTCTAAAAAATAAAAAACCACATATATTTATTGTAATTATTCAATGTAGTAATGAGGTCCATATACAACTAAATCGCGGTTACTTTCGTTCACTAAAACCTAAAAAATGCGTCTATAGCAGTAAAGGTGCGTTCGTTATACGACCAGTGTACTATCATTATATTATGATTCATGGCCGACCATTTGTTTTTGAAAACGATATAGTAATAATAATATAATGCACTGTACCAATTAAACCCGAGGCGAAAATAATGAACGATGGTGTACACCTGTTGCAGCGCTGATTCATCCGACTTGTCTATATAATAAATTTGGATAAGTAATAGGACTGGGAAATGTTTATGAACGAGAAATATGTACTTCATGTACCTAATTTACAGAATCTCTTGTATAATATATCGGTCAAACATACCCGTTTTAATTGTGCGCATCATATAATACACGTTATATATACATTTTTGAATGTAAGTACGCACATTATATCACCTCTGAGTTTTGAATTGCAACTGGAAAAAAGAAAAAAAAGTTGATACTGCTGATGGGTGTGTCGCCTCTGTTTTAGGAGGGAAGTTGAGAGGAAAGATATGCAGAGTAATTAAATTTATATTTTTACGTATAACTATATGACATTGGCTAACGAAAAATGATTCTGAACAGAGTATTATTAGTTATATTTTTTAATTTTCCCCTTGTTATCAAAGCTACCAGAAATCATCAATAATGGTCGACCAAATTTTTAAGAAAACTACAAGGAAAACAAAAAATGACCTCTTTAATTTACCATCTAGATCAAAAATGTTACAATAAAGTTCCTATACACTATTTTTGATTGGGGCGAGATTTCTGGTGGAAAAGTTATTGATAGACACACGAATGAAAAAAAAAAAAATCCATGGTACATCATATGGTAAAACCAACGCGTTCCTTGCTTCGCTCAGAATCCAAAAAGCATACTCATTTTAAATATTATATTAGTAATTAATTATTTGAAATCGTACAACTTTGGCCGATAGAATTGGGTTACCTTTGTCAGAAGGTAATCTGACAAATATATTTTATAGATATATATTATTTGTGTATATATACATTATATTGCGCATTATGGACGAATATTCAACCAAACGTTAATAATAATAATTAGGATTCGTGTGCATTTCCCGTTCTATACGTACGTACTTTACAATCTCATCATCATATAGAGTGATGTTTGACAAATCGTATAATTATTTCACATCAATAGCACGACGATAATACAACACACACACGTATATATTATATTTGTATCTATTATCCATTACCTGGATAGCACCGCTGACAACAATATTCCGAAGACTCATAAATGTAAGAGGATTATAGTAAAATAATGTATGTATTGCATAATGTAAAGAAAGTATTTTTTTTTTTTATTTCAACGCAAAATTTAAATGACTACATTTAAAACCCAAAAACGACTCCCCGAACATATAGGTACTTAATAAAAATGTTTATTAAATACAAATGCATGATATTTATTTAATTAAGTTCGTCGTACCTAACTTTTTTAATAAGTAAAATACTTATACTGCCTCTTCAAATAAATTAAACTAACTATACTATATATAATGTTAATTACGATCCCGGAGTCAATTTTCAAAGAAATTAAAATATTTGTTGAAAATGTATTAAATACCTGTATATATATATAATGTTAAATAATAAACATAGTTAAAAATTAGTGCGTGATCGAAACACGAGATTTGTTCGTAATAACGAAAATATTTTATTGTATGTGTTTGTGTAACTTTAAAGAATTTTTAAACTCGAGTCGCCGAATATATCAGCTATGTACCAATAATATTTTCCGTTTCTATACATAAAAAATCGCTATTGTTAATTATTAATGTTTTTAACATAAACTTTCGCGGTTGGTTTTCAATAAATCGAAAGTTCTGCTTGTTAGGTATATAACTACGTACATATTTTATAGTGTCAAAAACCGGTCGGATTCTGATCGTTAATAATTAATCGTTCTACAGAACTTGTAGGTATATTATATCGCTGAAAATGTCCGTATTATACACGGTTTAATCGCGAAAACGGTCGAAAATATGAGATTTATTTTTAGATGTATTAGATTTTTGACAGAACATTTTTATATAAGTACTCATATCAACCGTATTTTTTTTTCTATATCCCAGAGTATATATAAGCTCCGTTAACGCCGAGTATTGTACAAAAAACAGTTCGATAGAGTATTGGATAGTTTTTTATTTTCCGTCAAAAATGTCGCTTTTTAAATTAATATATTATATATTTTTTTCGCGTCGAAACGTTTCTCCGTCAGTTTCTATTGGCGAGACCGTATATAAATTGAATATCATATACAATTGTTCCTATAACCCCCGAACATATTATATTACCTATTTTTTTTTCTAATAAAAATAACCGATATTAATTTCAAATGGAATTATTGTAAACCGTATATTTTATTTTTGTTTTTCTCTTTACTGTTTCCTCCTTATATGTGTATTAGTGTATATATAATATTATGTATACGTTTTTTCGGCGTGTAACATATTATATTATATAAACTGCATTTTATATGCGCGGAGACCCGAATAATATAACATTATAGTGTTATTATTATTATTCCAAGTATAAAACTTTTTATCGGATACTATACCAGATCCGCCGGGACTATAGAACGCGTTATTATTATTTTTCGATACCTATATAAGATTGATTAACATAATAATTTGTATGTATTTACGGGATCCACATATAACATTTATTTGGGAGGGGGGGAGAGAGAATGGTCGAGGTGAACTTTACGAGTGAGGTATTAATATTATTTCGAATACACATAAACGTTATAACGTTTTGTTATTATATATTATTATTATTATTATTCATTCGCTCGGATCGTATCGTTGGGTTAGGTTATACGTCTCTGTAAGCTGTGTGTAGGTATAAAATTTAATTTGTCCAACGGTTACCGATTTTGATTGCTCCCTGTATAATAGAATAATAATTATTGCCACGAATAACAATAATTGTACAGTTCCCCTTGATTAAACATATTGCCACAAACAAACAGAAAAAAAAAAAATAGAAAAAATTCAGTATTATCGTTTTTGGAATTTAATAATATTATAATCGAATACTATAAACGCCCCGCGTTCGTACGTAAATATTATTCTCCTGCAGGCGTAGTGCAAATTAATAATTACGAATCGAGGTTTTAATATTTTTTAACGTCGTGGTATATTCTACACCTTTATTAATAACGCGCCTATTAATTCGTGTTTATACTTATAGTCGTTGCAAAAGGTTAACCGAACCTTTTTAGCTATATATAATATAATTAATTCATATATTGTACATAAGTACTACTAACTATATATTCTATGCTGTAGTACCTTTTAGAAAAACTATTTATCCCTTTTGGATGTTAATAAATAATTAATAATAATATATTATAGAAGGTATAATATTATGTTCTGGTATAATACTACAACAATATTAATATATAGGTACCTATACGAGTAGATCTCGTATTTGGCGTATCGTTTGGAATATAAGAGATATCGCGTTTTATAGGCAGTAACACGAAGATATTACATCTGAAATAACTTTTATTCTATTCAATAGTTTTAAGGTTCTTCTCGTTGATATGATTCTCATGCTATGATTTTTCTGTTTTATACATTTTTAAGACTAAATATGAAGAAATTATTTTTAAAAAATCTAAGATAACTGTTTTGTAAATATACTCTGAAACAAAACTTTGGTGATGAAAATATTTACAAAATGACAAATCATTAAATGTCTATAATTAGTTTGAAGTTAATGATAATTTAAATTTTTTTATGAAATATTACTGAATAATATCAGACGATTCATTCCATTTATCCATGAAAAATAACTTTAATTTGTTTACATTTTAAAAAATTGTAGAAACTTAATGATTCATCATTAGTAAATATTTGTAAAATTTTGTTTGATAATGTGTACTTATAAAATAGCTATTTTAGATTTTCTAAAAAAAATTAAATTTCTAAGTCCTAGCGCAAGGTACTAGTAATTATCACAAGAAAAAAAACTTAAAAATATTGAACAGAACAAAAGTTATTCAGATATCAGATTTTCGTGTTGTGTAACACTCAGTACATAAATTAATGAAATTAGTAATTATATTATATTGCCGCGAATACGGGACGAAATATTCGCGTTTTAATCGTGGTGAAAATAAATAAAAAAAGAAAAAAATTACAATGTAGGAATTTTAATTTTCTGTAATGAACCTATATTATAGATGTAGATATGTTCGTTTTAACAAAAAGTGTACAACTTTTTTTCATAGTTTTCTAGATTTTACAATATTGCGGATCGACAACTATACATTTATCGGCTGAGTGTAGTGTATTCCTTAGAAAAAGTTCACTTTTTTTTGCGAACACAATAGCTGATAATACGTCTTGAATCAATTGTATGATTAATGATAGTAATAATAATAATAATTCAGCTCTAACGATGTTGTATAGTTTTTATCATCGTATGTGATGACTAGAATATTATTATTATAATATAGTACTTATACCCTACATGTTTTGTACAATATTTGCGCATATAATACACACGCGAAGTTGACTAAAATATTATTTTTTATTGTAATTTATTTTCGGTGTATAATGTGGATAAAAACCAATATATACTTCATTGACATTAACCTTTAACCCTAAAAGACAAAAAAAAAACATCGCGTAACCTATGAAAAAAATGTATTAAAAAAAAATAAAATCAACCAAAATTAGGGAGTCGGTTAATTTGGTTGAATATTAGATTTTAATCAATTCAATTTTGTTCAGTTACAATAAAACGATCGACACCTGGATGGATATTATAGTTATTAATAATACAAATAACGAGTAATACATTGAACTGCACCTGCGTATAAATTAAAGAACAAATGTTACCTTTAAAAAGAAAAATATTATGGCAAACATTAATCGAGTATTGTTTATTTTAAATAGATTGAAAAAAACGTACCAAACGACGTATTGCGGGATACCCGAAAATGTCTGTACACGCGTATACGAATCCCATACAGCAAGAGTCATTGATAACGAAAGAAAATCCTACGCCGATCATCGTGTGGAAAATTGTAAGTGAACTTTTGAAAATAATTAAGTTTTTCTTGAATTTTTTTTTTTTCTGGTTGCCGACTATGCGATTAATGTTTGGTGTTAAAACAATTTTTTTTTTTTCCCCCATAATTTAATATAATATATTTGTTTTTAAATAATAATAAATTGTGTGATGTGAACGTTACTTACCGACGGTGTGCGATGGCCAGTTGTGTACTAGAAGACGACTCGGCTGCGGTGGCTGTTGCTCCAACGACCGTAGGTAAAATACTTGTGAATTGCGGATCAACTTGTGGCGCTCGTTTATACTCCGCGCGTTCGGTACGGTCTGGGCGGCCGGGTGGATCGTCCGGCGGCCGGCGGGTCGGGCGAGGCGCCCGGTCGCGGGCCTGAGCGCACGGACCGTCGCCGCCGGGGGAATGCTTTCCGTCGTGTACCCCAACGCCGGCCGACCAATCGGAAACCGTCGATTTCCACCCGCACCCGCGTACAAAACACGTTAAACCCTACCCATATTATACGCCGCGAGTAGGTACACGCACGCGGACGACACCTACGTCACCGCGTCGTCGCGCGTATTATGTAAAAATAATATTACGTATAAAATGTACATAAATACTTACGCGAGTGTTAATTTTATAATTGGATGTAAATAATAATTATTACGATGCGGGGTTGATGGCGTCGTGCGATTACAATTCGAATTTGCCGGATTATAGCGTTTTATTATTGCGACGATGGTACCTATTGTAATACGGGTGGGTAGTGAGTAATATTATGTACGTAGCTAGGCATATGCCTAGATATATGAAATAACTGACAAGATGTATCCGAATTATCAAAACTAATCGCACGGCAAACGCTATTATAAATTATGACCAGCTGCCATCAGTTGAATACAATACATTATAATAGGTATATTTCCACGGTCTTGGTATACGTTTAGACCTCCTAAATGAATATTCAATTTTTTAGTGAACCCTAGTTAATAAATATATTTTATATACGGCGACCTTAAATAATTAGTTGGTGACCCGACCCTCTCGGATTGAGAAAAACTGATCTATATACCACCGAATATCAGTTAATCACGAAAAAATAGTATTACAATTTTACAACACGAATTGACAAACGACCCGTTTAGGCTTCTAATTTTGACGATTAACCGAAATATGTAACTCGGTAATTGTATTTTATAAAAATAAGTCGTTTTGGCGATTTTCGTTGTAACTATGGTTTATAGCTAGGTTACTGCGAAATACGACAACCGAGTAAAAAGAATGATCATTATATTTGGTTATTGATAAAATACTATGTAAGCACGATCTACGTAATAATAACTAAATAATGTGAACCATTATTCAAAATCTCATAAACATGTCTGATAAAATTGATAATGAGTATAAAATCGTCCGCGTGACGAATAGTACTAAGTCATCCGCGGTCGACTGTCCGGAGCGCTCGTATCGCGTCACACCGCAGCCGTCGTCGTCCTAATTGCACAGGGGTGCAGTATCATCATTAAAATCGTCGCTGATTTAGAACAGCATGAATTTTAGAATTAGAATTTGAATATTGAATTTTAGCGTAGTGTGGAATGTATTATAGTTTTACAATAATGTGTTCTGTTTTTTTTTTCGTTTCTTGACAAGTTTTCGATCAGAAATCTTGCACCAATCATTAACTTCAAGAGCGGTTCTGTCAGGAAATTTTGTTTAATTGATGTTGGTGTAATGATGAAATAATTTTTTCATTTTCCTTTTAATTTTTAGGAAAACTCGGGAAAACTCTGGAATTTAGGAATTTATTTATAGGTATTTGAAATTGTCGAGTTTTATTTATCTTGTTTTAAGCGGATACAAATTGCATCAGTTATTTTTATTAGTGGTTTTAAGTTTAAATTCATGCTAAAATAGTAAAATTTAATAAAAACATGAATAAATATAATTTATTTTTTAGTTAGAAATGAATACTATGAATACTAATAGAATATATTATTTAGTTTAAATTTATCAAAACCAGTGCTTGATACCTTTATAATTTTTTCGGTTTCGATTCCGATTTTTTTTAAAAATTACAAAATTTAGGTTTCTGATACCGGTAAATATCGGTATTTAGAGGTACATATTTTTTCAAAAAGTAAAAAAGAAAGATGGATATGCACGACGTGTGGGCTACTGTATTGCAGAATATAAAAGGGAATTTAATTTATATGTGTACATAATAATAAATCATTGCTAACAAAACATGATTCAGAGCAATGTTTACTTATACATGTTATGAATAATATTTTCAATTTTTATCAAAATTTGAAATTAACTCTTATTAAATAATAAAAAAAAAAATACTACATAACACAATTTTTTTTTTTTACTAAAAAGAACGATTTATAATAAACTTTCTGTTCAATTTTCAAGCATTTCTGTTTAGTCTAAGTATATCCACATAATATTATCCACATAGATACATAGATAATACATAAAAATTACTTTAAGAACTATCAAAATTAAAATGTTTATAAATAGATCAAAAAAGCTTGCATTTTTTTTAAATTTTACCATGTCTAAAAAATTATATAACCTATTCTATTACTACAGAACTATATAATCAAGAATAGTTAAATAATCCAAATACTATCGTGTATATGTTTTCACTCTGTATAGGTTGCGTACAACTAGCTGTAGCTGTAGATTTAGACATTTATTAGGTAATATTGGTTATTTATCGTAAAATAACTGTTAATTAGCTATATAGTTTTTGGTATACTTATAGTTATAGTTAAAAATAGTTATCTGCTTTTACCAATGTAATCACACAGTAACTCTATAGCAGTAAAGGATTAGACTAGTTCGCGTTATTTTTAATATTATGTTTACTGTTCCTTATATTAACTGTAAAATGTACAATGTTTTATACTTAACTACCAATGCCAGGGGATATACCTACCCCTTAAATTAGGTGGGCAGCCGGGACACTTAATATACAGGTTCGACCCTACTGAATAGGTGTATACGAGTTTACTAATTTATTAGTCCATCTCATAAACTAATAACAATTAATATTGATATTATAATATTATTGTTATTATTGTGTTATTTACCTATGTTATTTAACTATGCAATTTTGATCGTTTTAAATTTTATTAATCATTTTATTACACATCATTCATTAGAGCTTGCGCTAAGGAAATGTTAGAGATGCACATCCTTTTCGTTTTACAAAAGTGAAACAATTTGCAATTATACCAAATAACTTTCCATTTAATTTTAATTGATCAATCTTCATCAGTTATTAATTGATTATTTAAAGCCATTATCCATCAACCTATTAGTAAGTTGGATTTTGATGTTTCGATTTTATTGATGACATTTTTTGTTTCTTCATCCATTGAAATTATATTCAAATCATTTGACTGTAACTGCTGTTGATATCTTGAAAATGTTAATAAAATATCAGACAAAGATATTTTTGACGGCATAGTGCAACGATTATCATAATCACGGTTTATGATTTTAATCTTTATATATTCATCTTAGATAAATATTTATATATTATTAATGTTTTATTATCAATGTCTCGGTAGCCAACTTATTTCGCCCTATCTTTCTAGCTGAGCGTAGGCGCACTGCTGGAGTTAAATTTATAAGTGGTCTATTGGATGGCAATTTCGACTCACCTGATATATTGTCACATTTATTTTTAACGTACCTGAGAGAACACCAAGTTCCACCATTCTCTTCTATATCCTGCATTTCTCCACAAATTATTTAAAAAACTAACCTATTAGGCGCCTAAAGGTGAGTGCCAACGTTGACCCCACTTTTGGTAACTAATTAAGTAAATTTTGATTGATAACTCAATGTTATATTATATTATCCTAATAACATGTATTATTAAATGTACAAATGATATATGTATACTAGAGGGCAATTGCTCGTGTAATTAAAAATAAAATAAAATAATAATTTCTAAAAAAAGATATGTTATCAGCTCATATAGTATATTTTATGAATTACACAGTTTTTAAATGAGAACGGCACATTTTAATTTAGAACTGTACATTTTGTGTACAACTGCACGTTAGTGCTAGCCCTGTCATTATTCATCACCAGACGTCATCCAAAACTATTTATAAATTATAAAATATAAAGAAATAATCATGATGATGGTCTTTACAAACCAATAGTCGAATAACAATATTTATTATTAATATATATTTATTTCTGAAAATAGGCTATAGAAATATAAAATATAAATACATGTATACATTAATATAAACCAAATTTAATGAATGAACTATTATTAGGTAAACCTAAATGTATGAAATAGTTAAATACCTACTGTTGGAACTGAAAAACCAAATAATTCTCTTCCTACAAATATCAGTTCTGATTCCGGTTTAGGTCTCTAAAAAAATCAAAAAAAGGTTTTGCTGAGGTTCCGGTTTCAATATTTTCAAAAGGTTCCAGTTAAATACTTATATTTTTAATTTCGGTTCTAAGATTTGAATTCAAAACTGCATATATTAACTGAACTTTCGCACTTGGAATCGTTTTAAGTTTTCGGCGATTTATCGTTGCGTATACAGATATAAACTAAATTACTCTGTATATCTTGTTTTTTTTCTTTTAATGCCTAGGATTATTAAAGACAATTATTTAAATTTGGCATTAAATAATATACCTACCAGTCTAAAACGATAGCGGTTTTCGTTCGATATTATCACCACCATTTCATGTAATAAAATAATATTATCATTTAATATTCGGGGCCGCCACACATTTCGCAGTGCTCAAAAGTTTGTACACCCGCAGCTAAAGTACGTTTAATCCTATCACGCGGCCTTAACGCGGTTTTTTTATGACGAAAACGGCAGTGATCCCGTTGTTCCTGTCTTGCGTCCGGTTGCACGGCTTTTCGAAATCCACTGTTAATGCGTAACGTAACCCACCTATACCTATCCATATTACATGTTAACTAGCTATATTGTCATGTGTATATTATAGGTGTATACCTTTGATATTTTTACAGAAAATGTAGGTATATCCTACAGTTATTATGTTATAATATGTACAGTGTGATAATTTTTTCAGTGACCACCAAATATTTCGACAGGGTATGATCTTGTATTATTAAAAAGTGATGTAGAGTATACATTTTAGGATACATTTCAAATTTTTAATTCTTTCTGTACGCATATGCACAATAATACTTACTTTTATTTTTTTTAAACTCAAATACCTATTTTTAACACCAAATTTAATAGTTGTCCTATTTTTTTTTAAGCAACTTTGATAAATACAATTATTTTTGTGTTTTAAAAATAGTCTGAGATGTAGTTTATTAAAAATTACGTTTTTCAAAACATTTTTAATCGTATGTTAGGTATTATAATATGTATACATGATTTCATAATTACCAATTTTTTTATATATATATATATTTTTTTTATAATAGTAATCTAGCAATTCTTTACTTGAAGTATTGTTTTAAATGTACCTATAGTAAAAATCCAAAAAAATTATATTTCTATTAAATTTAGATTGCCGTATTTCAGGAAATTTTTGAAATGGAAAGAAATTGTACTGATTAAAGTTGCTTCAAAATAAAATAACCTTGTTCGAACATGGTGCTAAAAATAGGTGTTTCCATTTAAAAAAAAAAAGTTGTATTGAGCATCGAAAAGGTTAAAAATGTGCATTTTGTCCTAAGATATGTATTTCAGTGCTTTCCGAAAACCGGATTAATATGCAAATAAGATAATCTAGTTGTAGGGTTATCCGAAAAAATTGATTAAACTGTATGTATATTAATTAACATGCATAACAAGTGGCGTAATTTTGTATATTTTTACCATTGATAGGTATCTTGTAGTAAACCCTCAGACCAGCTATATAACAATATTATAATTTGTGTATACCTACCACCTATATACTTAATTAATATGAAAACTTGTGCGAATTTTTCAAATAAAATCGTATATAAATTTTGGTTTTTGTGTCCAATTTTCCCCAAAAACAGAGATTATTGCAATTGATATACATACTTTAATAATTATAAATACTCGTATAGATAAATTTGCGGAAAGTTAAAAAAAGGACCAAAATAAAAAAAAAAAATTAAAAAGAATATATTACAGTTTTTGGAAATAAATAAATTTTTTCAACTTTAAATTTTCTATTAGTTTATTAAAATTGTTTTTTGCACATTGGCCTTTCTAGCACGAAGTTACAGAATTATATATATTTTTAGCGTTACTTAAGACATTTCTATAGATTCCCTCTGGATCAAATGAGCTTTTCCTCGGGAAATAAAATTGTTTCGTTGGTGGATTGAAGTAATAAATATTGATTAGAATTTCTTTTTTATTAATTTTGTATACCCCTAAACCTAAAGACTCCCCAAATTAAGCCAAGTGGATAAAATTGTGTGTAAGCATAGAATATTTTTACTATAGAAAATGAATGGAAAAAATTCGATTCTAGTGACGGAGCTTTGCTGTTCATGAGTGTTCTCAATATGTATCAATTTCAATACAAGTTTAACTTAAATAGTTAAATCTTGTATAAAAGTATCAAGACAATAACGAAGATTCACGAATTTCGCTTGTAATATAATCCTCTACAGTAGATAATTTTCAAAAAAACTGTAATCGATTCAAACGTTTAAAGTCATGGTAATCGGAAAATTGTTTTTAAAAAATGCACTATAATTACGTATAATATGTACGCATATCGTTTATTTTTGGCGGCAGTAACTGACGGTAACTGCAGTGGAATGTGAATCGTTCTTTGGAATTTGGGCTTCTGTAAGACGACACCCGATTAATTTATCTGAGACATCCTTGTCTCAAATAGCTTAAGTAGCATTTAACCTAGGGGGTATATTTTATGCATAAATTGTGAAAAAAGAAGTTCCCAGAGTCGTTGTACAATTTAATATATTACTAACGTCAGTTAATATATATTATGTCAGCTAAATAAAAAACAATAATTATTGTGCTCGGTTTTATATAATTATTATATTCTCGGACCGCGGTCTAAATATCGGGAGCGTAAATTTATAACATTACATGTACAAAGGTATATTTTCAAATATTTAGATCTCCTATATTTATAAGAGATAATTACTAAAATAATTCTTTATAAATGTAGATAAAAGATACATATATATTTTTAAATGTCCAAATAAAGATAAATAATCGGCAACTTTTTATCTAGACTGGCAAAAAAAATTAACGTGTGCATTAAACCTATTACAAAAATAAATGCTAAAAGTAGTAAAAGTGTATCAGATTTGTTACACACCTCGATAACAAAACTGATTTAATAATTAATCAATTTAATCATTTATTACTAATAAATATTACAATTTAAAAAGATTTGTCGAGATACATTTTTTTAGACAGTTAAATTATATTAATTCTAAGATAACAGCTCGGATAACTTATTATTAAGTAGTGTAAACTCTTTTTTAAATTTTTTCGTGTTTATCTGCCCGCATGCGTTTTATCTCTCGTACGGTTACGAATTTTGAAATGCTGTTTTTACTAAATAATTAGTTAAATTCTAAAGAATATCTCCATTAATTTTCAGTCTAATCGGTGAAAAAGAAAAACTAGTTGTTTTTCTCATTGGGAGCTTAGGTTACTTCAAATTTTATCGGTTTTATCCAGTGGCGAATCTAGGATTGTTTTATAGTAAGTGCTAGTTTGTTTATAATGGTTCTAAGTTACTTATTAATGTGTTTAATACTTAGTTGATGTGAAAAAGAAATTAATAATTTGCAGCGTAAAAGGCTAGGAAAATCAGTTTTTCAATGTGCACGTATTTTGGATGTTTTTACATAAATAATTCAACATATAATTATTAAATAACATACATAATTGTATCTAAAGATTAAATTAAAATCTTATTGTTTTTTAATAAGTATACATAATAATACAATTACAATGTATGTTATTTAATATTTGTTATATTGACCAGTCCTCTAATTTCTTTTCTTTTTTCTAGTAAACTCATTAATAACTAAGTTAATATCTATATATTTTTCTATATGAACATTTAATAAAGCTAAATCGTTCAGTCTAGACTAGGTCATTGTAGAGCGCATGTAATTTTTTAATCTCTTTAAGGTAGAATATGACCTTTTAGTGGTTGCTATAGGTACTGGAAGCATAGCAAATAATTGTAAGACTTTTTTAATATTTGGAAAAAAATTGTTCCAATATGTGAGTGATGTAACAGCAGTATGGGATTTGTTTCTATTTCATTCCATTTAGTATTCTAAAGATTTATTTCCGCTTTTAATACTAATTCTAAACTTGAAAGTAAATCTTGGGCATAGAACATTCCAGCTTTCAATGTAGCTTCAGTGGTCAATGTTTTATGAATCTTTGTGAATTGGAATGAGCTCTTTAAGTTAAATAACTTGAGAACATTTTTCACTGAATCTAGATTTTAATTCTTAAATAACGTGGTCTAAAAATGGTTTAAAAAATTGTTATTTCAAACCACTTCATAGTATTTCTGTTCATGTAGGCATTAATGGTATTCCTTTTTGTTTGGTGACCACTAAGTCAAGTTTTTTGTAATAAAAAATTCACGGAACAGTGGGTGCTTCAGCACCCCAAGCAACCCCTCAAATCCGCCACTAGTTTTATCTTATTGATAATACAAATGATAAAAATATATCCATCCAGATAAAACATAACACAGTGACTATTAATAATACCATTAGTATTATTACTGTCTTTAGTGGATAACCGTGAGGTGTCGAACTCATGATCCAAGGGCCACCAAAGAGTTCGATTCCGACAAACCGAGCGGCCGCAAAGTATATTTAACAAATAATGTAAGTACTTATGTAATCTGAAGGTTATCCTTGAAAGTGGTCATAGTTGTCAGGTGCGGTAAGTCGACCTTATAACCCCAAATACACCGTTATCCATGGTATATATTATAGGGTTGTAGGACATTTTGTACGGTCACATAGAAAAAAATAAAAAGCACAGACGTTTTGTATTATTTTAGGTAGTAATAACTTTTAATATTTTAAATTTCATATTATGGTCAAATTGTCCAAGAATTAATTTTAATAGATTGCTTATTTCAAAATTTTATAATCAATAATCATATATTCTAATTGTTACATTGTCCTTAATTTTGACCGGTAAGACACTCGGTGCCAATGTCGTTTTGTCCAAAAAATACAAATGGAATGTTAAAAATAATTTTCATATTTTTCAAAATTCGAGAAAATTTGAAAAACTGGCACCAGGCCCCTTATTCGGCTTCCGACTTTTGATTTTAAAATAAAAACATACATTACAAATTCCATAAACAGACGGAGTATTAGTTTAAATATATTTTAGAGTTTGAATATTTGATTTCCGTCAACGAGATATTCTATTTTTAAGTACAATTTTTGAGTACAAACTACAAAGTTTTCGTGGTATGTAAATCAAATAATAGACTGTACAATGTCCGTGTATTATTACTAGGTATATACAAATTTTATTGTTCTTCTAAAAAAATGTTTCCCTTACTCAATATAAAGTTAAACTATACCTACCAACAAATACAAGCACTTGACGGTAAAATAATAATTAAAAGTGATAAAATCAAAAAATTAAATTTTTAAAAAAAATAAAATAAAAATGTTATTTTACTAAGTTATGATGATGCGTGGAACATATCAATATAAATATTTTTATTTGCTCATTGCAATAATATATTCGCTAAACAAATACTATACATATAAATATATGTACGTCAACGTCCAATGAGTTATCGTTCTGTAACTTCTCGTATATTATACAAAGTTTTTCATTAATTAAATTTCAATTATTATTATTATTATTTACATATTATACATTATTATTCAAGTTTCGAATTGGAACAATCAATTTTGGTTTATTTGATGGTTTGTTTATTTGTATTTAACGGTCGAATATTATTTTATATTATATATTATCTATACCCGTTTTATATTATTTAAAATATCAAACATATCCATATATAATATATAATCTATATATATAAAATCCAAATACCATTGATTTACTGATCGCTGTATCTTAAATCCTACTCAACCTGCGCACTTGAAATTTGGAATAGTGGTTCCTTTAATACTTTCACTGTGCAATAAGAACAGACTTTTGAAAATTCAACCCCTAAGAGGATAAAATAGGGGTTTTTAGGTTTATTTGGTACGAATATCTAATTGCTTATTTATTTATTTTTGTTTATTCAAGGGTTACCTTGGTGTTACGGAAAAGAAAACTATTATAATAATTATTACTATTATTACTATTATTTGCATTATTAAAATTTCACAATAGATCACATTTAGTCCGCAGAAAGTGGACTACTCACTTTTTACCTATTTGTTTTCATTCAATTCTGACAAGACCAAAGCCAAAACTTAATAAGGGTAAAATAATAATAATACAAATTGGCACGGGCAACGCCGAGCGCGAGACATCTAGTATATATATTATAATATTATATATGTATGTGTAATGCTAAAACAATGTATATACAGTAGGTATATAAAATAATGTAAACAAATTTCAAATATTAAAATATTTAAAATAATCGAAAAAGTGCAGATATTTTATGTTTAAAAAAATGATGATGATAAGACATATTATATTTTATTGGTTAGATATAGGAATTTAGCGAAAAATAATTTAATCCCCTAGTCTAATTATTCATTTTGGTTATTATTTTTTAAAATTTATTTTATTATTTATATTTCATCAAAATGACCGCGGGACTTTGTATACTTCTTTCTAGACAGGAGATCGATACAGCGTCCGTTGGGGTTTTTAAATATTGTACTTTTGTGACCCTAGACGCGTGACTATATTGCTAATGTAAAAGATCTTCTTTGGAATTGACGGGTGGTTTGTATGTCATTGTAATATAGTACATAACAATTCGTTTATAACGTTGTTTTTCAACCTTTATTGCGATATATTATTGTAGCCACGTTTTGAATTGTGGGTGGTATTTAAACAACGATAAATTATAATAATTAGAAATACCTATTAGTCTATAATAGATGCAGATTTCAGTTAAATAATACATTCTGTCTAAATTAAAAATCCGGTTTGCATTATTAAATTTGTTGGCTTTTAAAACGAATAAACAAATAAACCAATAAATTGCTATTATAAATAACTTAAACATGCCTGAATATATTGAAAATTATATTATATTATAGTCAGTGAAAGATTTAGGTACCTACGATAATTCTTAACTGACCCATTTTGTTGTATATTGGATCTAAATGCTTACAAAGCAAGTTGTTTTTAATTTTTCTTGTAGGTTTTTTAATAATTGAACAAAACCAAAAAATATCTGAAAATAACGGGAACATTTACGAAAATAATTGTTTATTGTTTTCAATTTATTTTGTTTTATTGTAATTTAGTTAAAAATATTCATAGAGATTTGAAATTTTTACAAAAAACTTGTATTTAATTTCTGTAAATGTTGTATAATTTTCAAAACATTGTTATTTTAAAGTTATTTATAGAAATTTTAATTTTGAGAGATTTTTACGTAATTTCTACTTGGTAGGTTACTTTATAATATTAATGTTAGATACAACAGAAATGCTTGAATATTTGATTGGAGATTCATTAAAAGTACTTTATGGTCAAAAAACTTGAGTTTAATAAAGTATTTTTTATTTTTTATAAGAGTTTTAAAATCAAATTTTTATGAAAATTGTAAATATTACGGCCTTTACGGTCACGTACTCGTATAACCGAAATTCCCTCCGAATCGTTTTTCGTTAGGAATGGTCTACCGTTGGTTACAGGTATAAATTAAGTAACTTAATGTATCTTACCATCCCACTTCATACTTACATTAGTTGCGTATCCATCCCCAGTATCCAACATTTATTTAAAATAATATTCCTCTTTTTTATAGTTCAATATAGGTTATCATTTGAAAATCAGAAGTAGGTAGTCGTTTCACCCTTAATAATAAGGGTGATAATAAAATGATAATGTAACATTTTAGAACTATTAGTTCTATATAGTTTTTAAAACAAAACAAATTTCAAAAATAGTCAATACTTCTCGAAATAATGAGTGTTTAATATTAAAAAAATCATCCGGTTGATACCTAGTCTAAAAATAATTCTATTCAAACATAATATTGTCAGTAACGTTTTCGCGTTAGTTATTTTATTAAATATAATGGTGTATGGCAACAAAAAAACTGATTTTTTTTACATTATAAATATATATTAATGTATGCACATTATACATGATATGTAGTATACCGAACAGAAAATATATATATTAATATATTTATGTTTACTAGGGAATTTACAGTTTTTACATCATAGTTAATTATTAAAAAAATCTCCGGAGAAATGTACTTGTGTACGTTATTAAAATATATCATGTAAAATGTTACTGTTAAAATTCTATGCAAATGCGAGAAATTAATTTTGATGTATAATACAACTGGTGCCTAGATACCTAATATAATATATACCTAAAAAGATAAATATTTTACAGAGTGAGAAAGATGTACATTTACATATACAATGTATATGTATAGGTAATGTATAATGTATAGGTACATGTTTAAATTTATAGTTTAATATTAATATTATGTTTACCTATACTATTTAACTTCTGAAAATTATTATTTAAAATGTTTTGCTGCAAATGTTGTAACGTATATTAGAAAGAGTTTAAATGTAAATATATTGAGCTAGGTTTTGTCCAATGGTATTAATGCAAAGTACCTATTTTAGTTTAGTAAAAAAGAAAATATGAAAAAGGAAATATTAATAATAGAAAACAGCATTTTGAAAAGTGCTAATTTTCTCAAGAATTATATTTAATTTTAACGGAATTAACATAGATATATATTCAATATAGGTATACTCGTACATATATTCCTCAGAAATGTAAATTCGCTATTATATAATTATTAATACATTCTTTTTATACAAAGTTTTCAGAAAGTTTTATGAATTGATTAAGTCATTTTCTGGTCCTAGAGAAAAAATCTATTTTATAGTGTTTTTGATTTAACCAAATTTAATTTTTAGAATTCCTAAATTCTAAAATCAAAATTGATGCACCATATATAATTGTTTAAATATTTGTATCCAATTCATTACCTATATACCTATATTATATTATAGGTAGGATATAATTCATGCGATGGGTGTGTCACTGTTGTAGTGAGAAGTTGGCAAGGTATACAATATAGAATTACAATTACAGCATTTTAAAATATGTATTACCGTACATTGTTTCCAATCGTTTTTCTTTACCAATAGTTTATCGTTGTATACAGATATAAATTAAATTCCTATATCTGTATGCAACGATAAACTATTGGTAAAGAAAAACGATTGGAAACAATGTACGGTAATACATATTTTAAAATGCTGTAATTTGTACGATTTTCATCAACATTTGATCTTAAAACGCTAATGACTGCAATACATTAATAATAGTAAAAAAAAAAAACTAATGCATTAAACTCAAATTTGTTTTTTAGACTATCATAAGTTTTACTTATAATATATCATGTGTTCAATTTTCAAACATTTCTTATAAGTCACATTTTTTAATAATAAATACCTACCAAATAAGTATATATATTTAAAACATGAAAATATTAATTACCTATAAATAGCCGTAAAATCATAGTAAAATCAATTTTAGTAAAACTAAAATATAAACATCATTGTAAACCAAAAAATTCCTCTTTATACACTGAATCTAAAAATAAAGGGGAACAAATTATAAAAAAGCCAAATCTTAAGATCAGAGGAAAGAAATAACGTTCATATGTATTGGCTATATGCAAATTTATTATCTTATTTAACACAGTGAACGAAATTGATGTTATTTTTTTTTTTATTTATAGAAAACATTAATTTTGATCACACTTAATAATAACGCGCGTTATTCGCATAAACTCAAGTTAGCTTGTTATAATAGTTGTATACACTAAATACCTTCCTAATTCGGTTGTTAAACTTTCAAAATCTCATCTAAGCCGAAATGTTTATTCGAGTTTAAGCCCTTTATTTATTGCCTAGAAAGCGGAGCCGTGCAATTAAATATTGGCCACAATCCGTATGTCTATGCGAGTACAGTGTCTCACAAAAATCTGGTAAATGTAACAATTTTTGTTCTGTTCAATATTTTTATCTCTAATTATGATGAGTCCTTAATTTTCTACATTCTTTTTGACATTTACAAAAATTATTTTTCATAGACAAATTGATAAATTCTGGTTGGTTAGGTATATACTAAATAATACCAATCTATTTAGTAGTGGCAATGAAAACAACTAAAATTATTGTAAAATTAAAAAAAAACTTTAGACAACTAATTACTTATTATTAGTAAATATTTGTAACATCAACGTTTTATTTTAAAATAAATTTATAAAATGGCTATCTTGGATTTCGTAAAAAAATTCACGAAATATAAGAATTATAGCGCGTGGCTCTAGTATTAATTGTAAAACAGAAAAACTTAAAAATCCGAACATAACAAATAAGTTATCATGTTTTTATTTTTGTTAAATTTTAGTGGGATACTCTGTGGGCTCTTTGGGAATTGTTGTGGGCTTATTTTACATTCCATTTATATACTACATTTCGAATAGGTACAACATTTTTTTCGAATAATTAATTAATTACAACCAATTTAATTGACTCTAGTCGGCGTCATAATAGTGAAATTATATAGCTTTAATTTGTACATAAAAGTTATTCGTACACGTTTTCAAGTGTAATTGCTATAATAATATAGGTATTCGATTTGCAATAATATTAAACTTTGATGTTAACGTAATAGATTCTTTAATGTGGGTCGAATGCAATTAGATTCTAATATACTTGTATATTGAGCTTAAAAATAAAATATATAATTAAAATGTCAGACGGAATACAGACGCCTGGTTGTCGGGAGTTTTTATTATAATGGTCTTGCTCGCTATATTATTGGCGCAAGTCATTGTTGTATTATTTATATACAATAATGAACTTAAAAGAAACGGTATAATAAATATCATCGAATTCGAATTACGATTCCGTCTAGCGTTTGTTTATAAGATGTATTTTTTTTTCCAAAACCGATTTCGAAGCTGTGTAAAAAATACGACCTACTCATATAGTAGAGAATATAAAATTTATTAAGGGGGTTCCAAATGGTTTGGGCATCGTTCATAACCGCGTATTTTCCATAAGTCATTTCTGCACACTTTTTCTATTATTTAGTGAAAATCTAAAGGGTCGACTATTCAGAACCGTACACTTTTGATTCGTATACTTTAAAATTCGGCAGTCGTACGAACAATAACGCATCCATTTATTTAAAATCAGATTACAGTTGAGAACCACGCTCCAGTTAATCAAAACCGAAAATGTATAAAAATTAAACTTTCAGGGTGATTAAAATTTATTAATAGCTAACGAAATATTTTCTTAATAAAATAATCACAATTATGAACATATTTTTAAAGAAAATTTGAACTTGAACTTTTGTTTTATTAAAATTTGCCCAGATAGTTTTACTTCATCGTTCATAAGTATCAATAGTTTATTAAATATAATAATAATAATATTTAAAGTATTCAAATATTAAGTAAAATTAACAATTAACAACCAACATGGTTAAAATATTTTGAGTTTTCGAATAGATTTACCTCGCACAACCAAATATAATAAACAATTCAGTGACTGGTAAACAATAGACAAAATGTGGTATTAAACGATGTGGAATGTTGAATATTAAAAATAAAAAAAACGAGCTGATACTGGAGACAGGTATGGCCACTATTTTAGTTAGGTAATTGGGAAGATGGGATACATAAAGTTATTTAATTTATACCTGTAATTAACAATAAACCACTTCTAATGAAAAACGATTTGGAGCGAAGTTCGGTTATAGGTACATGTTTTGAATGGACGTAATATTTACGATTTTCGTAAACATTTTATTTTAAAGCTCTTATGTATTCATAAAAAAAAAAAAATAAATACTACATTGCACTCAATTTTTTTGGGTACTAATTACGACTTATAATGAACCTCTTGTCAAATTCTCAAGTAATTCTGTTTGGTATAACAATTTTAAACTTAGAATACCTATCAAATAAAAGTACAGTGGCTATATGGTAATAAGAATAAAATCAATCTCTTTTCATTTTTAGATTGGAGCAGAATATATGGTAGAAAACATAAGTTATACAAATTAAAAACAATGAAAACAGCAATGTCATGGTGCTTCGTGAATATTTGTCGTTTTATCTATAATTTTATTTCGGATTTTTTCCAATTTATTTTGTAAATCACTTAGAAAATGAAAATATTACATCTTCAACGCACCAACTAGAAAAAATTATCTTTTAGAAAAAGTGCTACACTTGTTATTTCAAAACAAGACTTTTGGTAGAAAAGTTGTTCACAGACCAAAAAAAAAAACACATTATAGTAAAACTAATAGATCCCTCGCTACGCCTTGAATCTAAAGTGTATGGAATGGAACAAAGACCTTTTATGAAAGTGTGCAGTTAATAGTTATGATAATCGCCGTATTTTTATTTTCAAATTTTATCCAATAATGTAATATTTTAAACTCTTTTTTATTTTTTAATACTTTTCAACTAATTTATTATCAGTCGAGTTTCGTGTTATTGGCGTAAAAAAACTTTTTAATTTTTCTCTAGATTTACATGCCTAAATATACATATAATCTGAAAATGTTGTGAATTTCATATTTTGTACTCCAAAACTGTTTAAATTTTTTTTCGAATCGTTTTGACTATCTTTCTTTTAGTTTTACTCTCTATTTCTTGATTTCATCTGTCTTCTATTTTAATGAATTAAAGGTCGACTACCTGTATATTAGCCACCGGTTATGAGGATCTTTAGATATTACTTCATTCGACCGGACGTACTCTGATCAATTTCCACATCCGGCCACCGGACGTTTGCAAGTGTACCGAAAGGTACCGACACTTTTCTACTTGGAACAAACACGGAAAATTGTTTGTAATTTATTATTACTTTTGCCGAGAATCTCATCTCGAGGAGCTCATCCGTAAACATTTTCTCTTAATTCCACTCCACTGACCAACGGCAACGGCGTCGATTTTGCGCTCCTGCCTATATCTATACTATATTATTTTAATATTCGTATATAAGCTTTCTCGTACGAGTACGGGGGTAAGTTTTAATTATTATACCATTGTCCGCTACCAGCATACGCATCCATTTGCCAATCTTTAGCCATCCGGTAACCTGCAGGTGATTTTGTTAAATTTATATTAAAACAAATATTTGGTGTAATCGAGAAATATAAATATATTTAATATTTAATTCCGATGTTCAAGACTTGCTTCTGTTTATATGTTATTTTTACTAAGATGTATTTAATTGCTTGGAAAACATTTTTTCGACTGGTAAAAATGTTTCGATGTTTCCATGGCATGCCTTAAAAGATGCGGATTTTCCGCCTAATGGTACTTTATTTGAATATTTTTTTAAAATTGTTGGTACTGTTTCTAAATAATTAAAAAAAAAAAAAAAAAAACAACTCTCATTTAGTTGTAGTTCGATTAAATATAAATAGTAAAATTAATAGGTAATTGTAATGAGTGCTCAACATTTCCAAACAAAATTTACCATAAATTTGTTCTTAGTGACAAAAAAAAAAATAAAAAATAAAAACGTGATGCAATCATTTTTTTAAAAGCGTTTTACTGAACTTCACTCAAAATCAGTTTGTTTTGGCAATGATTTATCGTTATGTACAGATAGGTATAAATTAAATTATCCTATATATTTTATACCTTCCCAACTTCTTTTACGCAAAGCTACAACAGCGATATACTCACCAGCAGAATCAGCTTTTTTTCTAACATTCGTTAAAGAGAATATTTTGATTCCAACAAATGTTGATATGTATAAGGCTATTAACGGACGTATCATTACGATTATATAATATCAAAAAAAAAAAAACCATCTACTAAATAAAATTGACCCGAAATTTTCGTATAAATATAATCGCTGGTTAACGATAAAAAGATCATTCTATACGGGGACGGAAATCGTTTTTGTTTTTGTTTATCAACATTTATAATATAATACTGATATATACTATAATATAATACTGATATATACTATAATATAATACTGTTTATAACGTTTAATGTTTTTTTTTGCATAAGTTCATAATATTTTATAAAATCTTTGGCGGAGTTGAAAACATTTGATTTAAAAATCGATGCTTTTAGCAGAGCCGTTTAATTGTTACATTAAAAAAACACATAACAAATGGTTTTGTACAATTAACGCGGCCAGTGCGAAATAAAAATTTCTTTTTATTCACAATAAAACTATTTTTAATCGACAGCAGTTTAACCGATTTTAA